CCGTCCTCAGCTGCTTTCTCAGGCCACAAGCAGGGTGCTGGATGGGAAGCGGGACCACTAGGTTTTGAACTGGTGCTCATATGAGATCCCGATCCATGCAAAAGAGAACTTAATTGCTAGGCTTTTGCTCCAAACCCCCACCAGTTCTTTAAAGATCTTTTGCATGGCTGGATTCAATTGTTTGCACCCAAATAAGCTGTTCTTTCTTTTTTCAGAACTCCGTTAGTTACACAGCTGAAGGCGGAGCAGTCGCTGCTCTCTAGGCCCTGCTTGTAACCTAGAGCACTGCTACTGGAGAGTCTCGCATGGGGAACGGGAACAGTCCTGGGGGTCACATGTCCTGCCATCTTCCCATCCCAGGTCGCACAGCTGACCCAGAAGCTGAAGGAACACTGCAAAGTCGAGTATCAGATTAAAACATTTTCTGGACAAACTCACGGGTTTGTGCACCGGAAGAGAGAAGACTGCGCCCCTGAAGACAAGCCGTATATCGAAGAGGCCAGGAGGAACCTCATCGAGTGGCTGAACAAGTACGTGTAGTGTGTAGTGACCGAGTCCAGTCGTCTTCAGCCAGAAATTTGCTTTGCAAGAAATCATTGAATTCTCACTTTCTGTAACATACAGGTAGGGATCCTGAAATCCATTCTTATGTCAGACGCACAAAGTTGGGAATGCTCACGCATGAAAGCAATTTAACTGTAACATGTACATGAAATAAAGCTGTAAGATCATAGTTCAGTGCCTAAACAAGCTGGACGATAAATGCCTTGACGTCACATAGACCTGGGGCTGTTCAGGGACCGGGCGGCATCTCAGGGGGGCCTGGCCTGCAACTGGCCGCATCCTTTCCATGCCTGAAGTGCAAAACCAGGGCGACTATGGACCATACCCGGGCAGAGGAGGAGCCCAACTTCAGAGATATTTGTCTTAAGAGAGCTGGATTTGTCACAACCACACATCATATATGGTTTCTAGTGACTCAAGCCTGTGAAGCAAAGTAAGCACAATTCTTTGGACTTTTAGCTTTTAAATTAAAAACTTTGTTTTAAAATTTTTTACTTGAGAGAATTATAGAAATTTTCCATCTGCTGGTTTACTACCCAAATAGCCAGTAACTTCTTCCAGGTGCCCATGTGGGTTCATGGTCCCAATGTTTTGGGGAATCCTCCACTGCTTTCCTGGGCCATTAGCAGGAAGCTGGTACAGAAGTGGAACAGCCAGGAATTCAACTGACACCTCTATGGAATATTGGCACCATTGGCACATTAACGTGCTACAGCATGCTTGCTACAATTTAAGAAAACAAGCCGGGCCTGGTGATGTGGTCTAGTGGCTAAAGTCCTCACCTTGAATGCCCCGGGATCCCATATGGACGCCGGTGCTTATCCCAGCAGCTCCATTTCCCATCCAGCTCCCTGCCTGTGGCCTGGGAAAGCAGTCAAGGACGGCCCAAAGCTTTGGGACCCTGCACCCGTGTGGGATAACTGGAAGAGGTTCCTGGATCCTGGCTTCGGATCGGCATAACATCGGCCGTTGCGCACCAAACTAATTTTTTTATACCCTCTTTTTTTTTGTTTTGTACATTTATTTTTTTTTTTATTGGAAAGGCAAACACGTTTATAGAGAGAAAGATCTTCCATATGCTTTTTATTACCTAAATGGCTGAAGTGGCTGAAGTGAGCCAATCAAAAGCCAAGGGCTTCTGCTGGGTCTCCCACATGACTGCAGGGCCCAGAGTTTTAGGACATTCTCTGATGCTTTCATACACCACAGATAGGGTGCTGGATAGAAAGTGGGACAGCCAGGACATGAACTGGCAGACATATGGGATCCTGGCGTGTACATGGCAAGGATTTTAATCATTGAGCCAGGTCCCACAAAAAAAAACTTTTTTAAGATTTATTTATTTTTATTTGAATGTAAGATATGCAGAGATTAGTAGATACAAGGAGAAAGATCTTCCGTCCACTGGTTGACCTCCCAATGGCTGCAGTATCCAGAGCTGAGCTGATCTGACGCCAGTAGCCCAGAGCTTCTTCTGGGTCTCCCACGTGGGTGCATGGTTCAAAGGCTTTGTGCCGTCCTCAACTACTTTCCCAGGCCACACGCAGGGAGCTGGATGGGAAGTAGGGCAGCCAGGACACAAACAGCAGGCCAAATGAAATCACAGTGCACGCAAACTGAGGACAGTATCACTAGGCTGCTCCATTGGGCCCCTACGTTCCAAAGAAAAAACTGTTTTAAAAATTTATTTATTTTTATTGGAAAGTAAAATAATATAGGGAAAAGGGATACCAAGAAAAGATTTTCTGTCCACTGGTTCACTCCACAACTAACTGCAATGTCCACAGCTGAGCCAATCCGAACCCAGGAGCCAGGTGCTTCTTTTGGGTCTCACACGCAGGTGCAGGGTCCCAAGGCTTTGGACTGTCCTCAATTGCTATCCTAGGCAGATGCAAAGTAAAAATTTAGTCACTAGGTCATGACGCTGTCCATTCTCCCCTACCCCCCAAATGTTTTGGTGAACATGAAACACTTGGGTTTTGGGGGATACCGTAAAACATTACAGCACACAAAGCAAATTATAAATAGTTTTTTTTTAAAGATTGACTTATTTTTATTGGAAAGGCAGATATACAGAGAGGAGGAGAGACAGAGAGGAAGATCTTCCATCCGATGATTCACTCCCCAGGCATCCAAACAGCTGGAGTTGATTAATCAAAGCCAGGAGCATCTTCCGGATCTCCCACGCGGGTGCAGGGTCCCAAGGCTTTGGGCCATCCTCAGCTGCCTTCTCGGGCCACAGACAGGGAGCTGGATGGGAAGTGGAGCTGCCGGGATTAGAATCAGCGCCCATATGGGATCCTGGTGCCTGCAAGGCAAGGACTTTAGTGGATTGTAGGAGGACCCTCACACCTGGAAACTGTCAGAGGTGACAAAGCCCTGGGTGTCCAGGCAACCTGAGGCTGACAGCCACTGCAGCCAGGGCAAGGATGGCTTTGTGTGTCATCCAGGGAAAGGAGCAGCCTCACCCCGTGAACGCTTAGCCTGAAGCCAGGGCCACACCTGCGACGCACACTGCGGCTGCCTCCCAGTGCCAGTGCTGTATGGCTGGCCTTGCTGGTCCGGTCCAGTGGGCACAGACAGGAGTGGAACTAAGGACAAAGGGTTGGGGTGTCTTTCAGGATCCTGTGGTGAGCCAGGTGGCTCTCTCTCTCAGCTCTGACCTCCCTTCTGGGGTCTTATACCAGCACTGCCAGTGGCACGGTGTGTGCGTTTCCCAAGATTCCCTATTTGACACCCAGTACACAGCACGTAAGTGGTCTTCCTTTTTTCCAAGTAGTTTATATGTTCACAAATACAGTTAAAAACAAGTCAGCTTCATTTTCATAAAATTGACCATGGCAATGCCACCTCCAACCCAGGCCGTGGGAAAGGTGCAAAGATCCAGTTGAGGAAGACACCGTTGACCTCCTGGCTCCCTGAAAAGACCCAGGACCCGAAGGGGTTTTATGGACATGTATCTAGACTTCCCCCACCTTTGCTCATTAGCCGTTTGTCTTCAGTGTCCTCCTTTCTGAGTCTTCAAGGGTCCACCTTCTGTAGGCTGTGTGCATGTAGCGCCTTCTTGGCCAGAGCCTGAGTGACCAACCCGTCTCACCCGACACTTACTCTCCTGTCTGCAAGCTCCCACCCTGTAGGGAAGCTGCTCCTTCAAGGGCAGAGGGCAGCTGGCATTGTGGCTTGGTGTATTAGGCTGCTGACCCCCAAGATGCCTGCTCTCACATGTGCACTGGCTCATTCCAGCATGTTCCACTCCCACCAGCCCATGCTAACGCACATGGGAAAGCAGTGAATGTGTGCTTGAGTGCCTGCCACCCAAGATGAAGTGCAGGTTTCTGCCCAAGCTATCAAGACCATTTAATATGAACCAAGGACAGAGATCTGTCTGGCTTGCTGAATGGGTAAGTACCAGAGAAGGGAGCATTTGAGAGACCCAGTCACTGAAACCAGTCTCCTGACGTTTGTCCAGCTACCTGCACGCTGCACTTGGACGTCCAGCAATGCTGGTCCCTCACACACACACGGTAATGTGACCTGAAGTCATGTACGGTGCTTTCTCGTGCTGCATGGGGGAGTGGGGGAGATGAGCAAGGTCGTCTGTGGTGACCTTTACTGCAGTCTGTTTTGTAATGGGATGGGTCGGAGGTGGCAGCTCAGCACGTGCTGGGTTTTCAACACTCAAACTGCATAGTTCTTGTACCCTCAAGTGCATGGCAGTTACAGCGCACTCCACACACCCGTGTGGCCAGAAAACACAGCACAATGTGGGCTGCTAAGTGCTCAGGCTCATTTCCATGAACCTTCACTTAGGCCCAGCCGTGTCCCCACGGCCCCCACTGCCTAATTCTCGGGGATGCGACCATGGCCCGCTGGAAGGGGCTCTCCTCCTGAGGCAGTCAAGTGAACTTTAGAACCACACCCAGCACAGGGACCAGGATGCCAGGGCTGATGGGACATCCCAGCGGTACACTGGGAGATAAGGCTGAGGCAGGCCAGTAACTGTCTTGAGCACCAGCCCACGACAGGGTCTGCCACCATCTGCAGGGCCACAGACCCCAAGCCTGTGTGCACTCTAGTCTCTGTGGCTTACTCCAATATGTCCCGCTGGAACAAGCCCAACTCCTACTGGCCTCCTAACCATGAGCTGGAGGCCGGCTCCAGCTGGTTCTGACCTTGCACACCAAGTACACACAGGAGTCGAAGATGGGGCCGGGGCCAGCCAGAGCAGAGATGCAAAAAGCCGCATTGTGCCAGTATTAACATAGCACGCTGTGTTTCAGTATAACCCATGGACACAACAGAGACACCCCCTCATTTTGTGATGGAAATATGCATCAGTGGGGTGCTGCCGTGGTTCAACTGGCTAACCCTCTGCCTGTAAGTGCCTGAATCCCACATGGGTGTTGGTTCAATAAATAAGCAGATGTGTCAATCACTCGGGGGTCTTCCTGACACATCAGACTCTCAGCTTTATTCTTCAGATTCTCCAGGCTTACGGATGTCATCAATCTTCAAAATCATTCTCACCATCTGGGTTGCCAGGGAGATCTGTTGCTTTTTGCCAATCAAAGTTTCTATGACATGTTGTTGCTTCATATCTGAAAAATACAAGTGAAGTGATTATCCCAACCTAGCCAGTAGCAGGTCATCTGTCGACTATCAGTCAGCAGCTCTGGCTTATGGAAGCACAAACAGAACACTCTCAGGCTACCGAGGACACACACCTGTCACCCTCTGCGGCCAGGACTCAGCGTGGTCCAAGCAGTGTGAATGAATGAGAGCCCTGTTCCCACAGGCTCAGGCTGCCATGCCTTTGCTCTGCTTCGTGCTGGAACCCCAGTGGGCACAGCACTTACCAAGCCCCCTGTTGCCCATGGAACACGAGGGGTCTTAGGAAAACTGCACTGAACTTTACAATCCCATTTTCTGTCGGCTTTCTGAAGACTCTTTGCACACCACGTAACACATTATAACCAAAAGTTCACTGTAGAGAGGTTTTATGTGGTTGTCAGAACGCACGGAAACCTTTCTACAGAAAGTGAGACGGCCATCATTTCCAAAACATGTCCATCTTTGGGAAGCAGAGCAGCATCATGCATCGGCTACCACCGCGGGAATGGGTTTTATGCTGTCCCGCAGGGTTAGCAGACTTAGTAAGACCACTTAAGGCAATCAAATGAAACCTAGAGTTCAGGACCTGAAGATGGAAACGATGCAAATCTGAAAAAGCCGACAGTGCCCCAGCGTGCATTGCACACTGCTCAGAACACAGTGTGACAGGTTCAGTGTGAGCCAAGCAGCCCCTGCTGCGGTGTGAACCTGGCTGTCCCTCAGCAACGCAGGCTGACATATGCTGGCCACTGCCGTGGTGTTGGGAGGTGACCAGGTTCTTTGGAGGGACTTTAGGGAGTGGGTCCTTCCCTTGAGTGTCCCTCTGCACGGCCCCTCCCCAAGGGGGCCCCCGACCCTGGACCTGGCGGCTCTCTCCTCACCATTGGTGCCCCTGTGCAGGCAGTCGATCCCAAGAGCGGGGTTCATCTCCTTCACTTGTCGGGCTCGCACCTCGGACATGGTCTGGATGGGGTTCATGCCGCTGTTCTCGGCAAGCGCCATGGGGATGACCTCCAGGGCGTCGGCGAAGGCCCGCATGGCATACTGCTCCAGGGTCGGACACTGCAGGGGCACATGGTCATTAGGCACACTTGGCAGACAGAGCAGGCTGGCAGTGGTCTGCCACCAGGACACACACTCTGAAAAGCCATCGAAGAGTTTTGGGGCAGGCTATCTTGTCTACTTTCAGTTGATCATAGATTGACCATGTCGCTGCAGAATTAAGGAGGCTCGTCCCGGCAAAGTGAATCTTCACACTCTGAGCTATGGCAGTAAAACAGTGAATTTGAAACATTAAAGACTGTGGAGCCTAATCATTCCTGTCAAGGGCACAGTCACTGGAAACGCCTGAGCTGAGAAGTGGGTGTGGGTGAGGAATGGGAATGCTGGGACAGGGTGCCTACCCCATGGCCTCCCACCCTACGCCCTCAGAGCATCCAGCCAACATTGCCTCTTCCGGCTTACCGCCAGAGCGCATGAGATCTCGGCAGCTCCTCCCCCGTACACCACATCGCTGTCCCAGATGAGAACTGAGAACATACAAAGAAGAAGTCATTTATGTTGACACAGCAGAGGAAGTAACAGCAAGCCGAGCTCCTGCCTGCATTGAGAGGCGCCCTGGAGGAGGTCCTGGGCTTTCTAGGCTGTGAAAGAGCAGTTCTGATGGTTGGTCCAGGAGAGGCTTGAGGAGTGACAGTGTGGGTTGGTTCATTGGGTAGAAGTTAACTCTGCAGTCGAGACTCAATAAAGACAACAGAAAGCATTTTCTGTGAAACTTTGCCCAGAATGCACAGCATTCTCGTGAGCTAGGTCTGTTAGAGCAGCACAGAGAAACCTTGGTCAGAAAGAACGGCAGGTGCCTCCAGTGTCTTCCACAGATGACCGCTGCTTGGCTCTGCTCACTAGACAGACACCCCTGGTCCTGGACTCCCTAGCAGGAAGTCACTGCTACCTGGGCCTGGCTGCTGTTGGGTCAGCCCCAAAGTCAGGAGCCAGGATCTCAATACAGTTCTCCTTGGTGGGTGACAAGGATCCCATGCTCTGGGCCATCACCGCCTCACCCCAAAGTCTGCTTTAGGCTGAAGCTGAAGTCAAAAGTCAGAGCTGGAAATTGAACCCAGGTATGTTGCTCTTGGCTGCAGGCGCCTTAGGTGTCAGGCTATTGCCCACTGCCTGAAAATTACCTTTTATTGAAAGTGTTGTTTGTCAGGGGCAGCAGACATCCAAGACAGTGTGTGCAGAAGATGTGGTCTCAGTGCAGCAGGAGGGGTTCCGGGGAGTGTTCCCGCAGGAGTTCTGCTGGCCATGCTTCTGGGGAACTTGGCCTTGAACACTCAGGCAGGGCCTAGCTGCTGTGCCTAGAGCAGGTCTGGGAACGCGGCCAGCTTCCCTGGCCACGGCCCATCCTTGTGGGAGGGTAGATAACCTTACAGGGTGTGTCCAAAGGGCTGTCCTCCGGGCCACAAAAACAGAAACAGCTTTCAACAAGAAATGGTGAGAAATGGAGGGTATAGGCTGCTTGGAAATGACCAGGAATTTCTGAAGTCCCTGAGTCCTCACTGGGTGACCCCCAGAATCATTCCCACCGAAAGTCCACAGGGCCTAACCTTTACCACTGTCGGTGCAGAAATGTGTTGGAATCTCTTCCTGCTGCTGGTCTATGATGTGGCTTAAACCTAAAGAACCATGAAAACTGGAATCAGATCTTTTTGCTAAATTGCTAGTCATGACCTTCTTTCTCCTTAAAATCGAATTACTTTATTTCTGATTGCAAAGCAATAAGAACCTTCAATAATGCACAGGAAATAAGCGACAGCCATCCATTTTCATATCACCCACACTCAGAAAGATCTTACTGGCTTTTGTTCTGAACTTGCAAGCAAAGCTTAACAAGGCCATAAAATGTAATCGTTACAGTTAAAGCCAGCAGGCTCCATCCATTGCTGTCTCCCTCCCAGTAAATACTGCTTCCCGTCCCTGTGCTTGATACTTTTCCTGTGCAGTACTCTGATGCGAAATCCTGGCAGACATTCCAGGAGAGACAGAAAGCCGAGGAACTCCTGTGTATGTGCAAGAGCTCTGCATGGGCCTGGAGCCATGGAAGACCTGATCCCAGTGTCTGATGTTTTGTTATTCCTGGGATTGTTGCCCGATCCTTTCTTCCCACGGGAGAGCTACTTCTCTATCCTGTTCTTGGAACGGCTGCAGGCTTCTCTGACCTTGTGGAGACTCGGCTAATCTGCACTCCGCACACCTGCTTTCCCACCACTTACACTATGCTTTTGTAAAAGTATAGAAACCCTCTATTTCTTTATGTCAGTGTGTTATCCTGTGAAATGATGGCCGCCCTGCTGCCATAATGAAGAATTCAGTTCAGTCCTTGCCTTGTTGACCTCTGACAGTATTTATCAACGGAGTACATACTGCTTTGGTTCTTACTGCTCAGCATCAGAAAGTGGTTGTGTGGGTAGGCGTTAGTGCAGCAGGAAGACTCTGGCAGGGATGGCCACGTGCCTCTCTGGTGCTTGAGCACCAACTCTGCTTCCCATTCCAGTTTCCTGTTCATGCGTGCCCCAGGAGGCCAGAAGATGCCGCAAACAGGTGGGCCCTGACACTGAGGTGAGTGGTAGAGGCTGGGTGCAGGCTCCTGACAGCGGCTGTTGAAGACATGTGGGAGAGAATCACTGGATGGAAGATCTCTCTGTGTCTCTCTATCTTTCTCTGATTCCCTGCCTTTCAAATAAGATGAAAATACTTTTAAAGAAATTGAAAATAGCAGTTTTCTTGGTGCACAGCATAGTTTTGAGACTTACCAAGGTGAAAAGCATAAGTACAGGTTATCCATGAACTGCTGTGTGATATTATTTTTAAAAATACGTATCTGAAAAATAAAGACAGACATCTCATCTATTGGGTCAGTCCCAAGTGACCTCAGCAACTGGGGCGAAGCCAGGCTGCAGCTGGGAGTCAGGGACTCAGAGCAGGATCTGGACAGTGGCTGTTAGGGATGCAACAGTTGAGCCTCACTTGCTGCCTTGGGGTGGAACAAGGACTCCAACCAAGGTGCTAATAGTGAATGTGCGTCACAAGCCAGGTCTTCCTGATGACTAGGCACCCACCCGTGACATGTCTTGGACAAATGTGGCCGTTTCCTATTGTTGATGGCTCGGACTATAATCACTGGATGACTTAAAACAGCAGATATTTCTGCTCTCATGGTTTTGGAAACCAGAAATCTAAAATCACCCAGTAAACAGGACAGTGTTCTTTTGGAAGTCTGGATGTGTAATTCCTCCTTTCCCTAAAGGATGCTGGAAGATCCTGGCAGTCAGTCTCATCTTCCTTTTGGGTGTACATGTCCTCTAGTCCATGCCGCCCTCTCTCCTGGGGCACCATCTCTGGGTCTTAACCAGCCCTGTCCTCCTGGGTCCTAACCAGCCCTGTCCTTCTGGGTCCAGCCACGGACCGGGAGGCCTGTGCTAATCCAGTGTGGCCTCCCTGACCTTCTGTGAGGACTTTGTTTCCAAGTAAAATCACAGTCAGGAACCAGGGGAAGGGTGTGAACTTGTGAGAGACACAGTCTAACCACCAACGATGAATATGACAGCATTTGGCCTGTTCTGTTTATGTGGTTGTGTTTCTGGTCCATCAGTGCACAAAGTATATCCTTCGGCTTCACAGTGTGCAAGAACACACACACACACACACACACACACACACACACACACACACACCCCTGTCAGTTTCTTCACAGAATGCATCCATTTCTGGATTGTAGAATGTCTTCACCTTATTTATTCTTCTTCTTTTTTTTTTTTTTTAAAGAGGAAAGGAGGGAGTGAGGGGAAGGAAGGAGAGAGAGATGTGTTGTATTGGCCAGTTCATTCCCAGTGCTTGCAACAGTGTGCAGAGCTGGTCCAAAGCCAGGAATCAGGAACCCCATTGCATCTTGCACATGGCTGGGGGATACCCAAGCCCTTGAAATATGGCCTGTTCTCCAGAGTCCCTGTGGACAAGGAACTGGATTGAGGACTGAGCCTGGGCAAACCCAGGCACTGTGAGAGGCCATGTCCTACCTTTCAACCTTGTTGAATCTCGGCTGATCACTTTCTATGAATCCTATCATGTTGCAGTCCATTCCTTTTCACTTCCAGGCACCATTCTTGCAGTGTGCAAGAGAGAAAGTGGTATTTCCTGTTGTTCCCGGTGTCCCTGAGTAACAGCAAGGTCATTTGCCTGCCCTGGGCCTGGGCCATTCAGCGCACTGCTCAGCAGACTGCCCTTGCCCAGGCCACGTCTGATGGCGCTCATGCCACACCACAGGCCATAGCATTCCTATCCTCACGCTGGCCCTGCCTCGTGAGACGCCCCATGCTCCAGTGCCTGTCACCTCTGACTGCTCTTGTGTGGTGCTCTGCACACCCAGTCTGTGAGTGTCTGTCCAGCTGCTGGCCTTGTGTGGATGTATCCAGATTCTTCCCCATTCTAGGCCCTTTCACCCGGGCATGCGCTGCACATGCTGTTGCTCACACTGTGGCAGGAGCCCCTCTTCTTCCCTTGCTTTTGGATCTTTCTCTTTTATGAGAAGTCTCAGATCCAGCATGGTAGCCAGGTGGTTCAAGTCCTCATCTTACATGTGTCAGGACCCCATATGGGCACCATTCATGTCCCAACTACCCTACTTCAATCCAGCTCCCGCTTTGTGGCCTGGAAAAGCAGTAGAGGACGACCCAAACCCTTGGGACCCTGCACCCACATGGCAGACCCCGAAGAAGCTCCTGGCTTCAGTTTGGCTCTGCTCTGGCCATTGAGGCTACTTAAGGAGTGAACCAGTGATCATAAGATCTTTCTCTGTGCCTCTCCTCCTCTCTGTGAATCTGGATGCCCAATAAAAACAAATAAAATTTAAAAATAAATAGAGATCTCTTCTCTTAAAGTGACAGCATCAATGACACTTTAATATCACCTCAGAGACAGCCATTCTTGCCAGGCTCAGCTCCAGCAGCTTCTATCTATCGAGGACACAGGTTTATTGTGTGTGTTTATCGCTTCGATCGATCCTTTTTACAGTGGGTTGTGCCTATTGCACAACCCTAAAAGGAATCAGATTTTAATCCTCTTGTAGTTTCTCAACTGTGTAGGTTAAAGTCCTTCCTAGCCCTGCAGGTGGCAATAAAAGGAGGTGGTGTCTTAAAACTGACGAGTTAGTGAGAGGTGAAAGCCTTTATAAGGTTCCTACTGGTGAGGGGAGACGAGGAAGGCACCATCTCTGACCCGCAGGTTCTGACAGCCTTCATTTGGACAACTGCAGGTAATGTTGTGTTGCTAATGAGGCCACAGCATGTGGCATTTTATCAGAGCAGCAGCCTAGGTGGACTGGACAGGACATGTTATATTCTTACCACCTCACCTACACATGCTTAACTTGTTTCCATCTGTCCTCTTGCCTATTATTAATATCCTCACTGCACAGCAAAGCCTACCCACCTGGCTGTAGAGTTTCTGGGCTGGCTGTGCCTCCAGCAAAGGCTCTTCAGCACCACCCATCTGATGTCAGTTTCTGCTCCAACACTGGCCCCGCAGCAGGGGCTTCTTTTCGCCTATAAATCGACTGTTTTTATTTTATGCCACTGTCTTAATTGCTGCTTGTTAGCTGCATTTTAGGTGGTGTTTCTAGTGTTTGTCATGGGAGTGGGTCTTCATTAGGCTTGATCTCATGGCGTCTGATTTCTTACACAGTGAATGCCCCAGGTGTGGTTAAAATGAAATACTTGCTATAGTTTGCTTACATGGTCCAGTGTTGTGGCATAGCCACCTGCCACACCCATCTGTTTGGGTGCTGGCTTGAATCTCGGCTGCCCCACTTCCCCTCCAGCTCCCTGCTGATGTGCCTAGGAGAGCAGAAGCAATAGAGGCCAAGTGCTTAGGCTCCAGCTACCACATGAGAGCCCCATGTGGTGTTCTATGCTCTGGCTTTGGCCTGGTCCAGCCCTGGCCACTGTGGCCATTTGAGAAGGGAAGCCGTGATGGAAGATTTGTCTCTCCGTGTCTCTCCCTCTCCCTCTAGAGCTCTGCCTTTCAAATGAATCAGTAACAACAGCTTAAAAGTGTATAATAAGATTCACATGACTCAGAATCTGACATGTGTGTCTCTCTCGTTGCAGTCCCACTTGAGCAGCAGCAATGGCGAACGAAGCTCAGCCTTGTCCGTGCGACATCGGCGACAGGATAGAGTATGGCGGATTGGGGCAGGAGGTCCAAGTGGAGCACATCAAGGCTTACCTCAGCAAGCCTCCCGTGGACACAGGCAAAGCCGTGATAGTCATTCATGACATCTTCGGCTGGGAGTTACCCAATACCAGATACATAACCGATATGATCACAGGGAATGGATACACGTAAGTATAAAATCCTCTTCCTTTGCCTCAAGTCAGATACATGCCCAAAGTCTGATTTTCCCCCTTTGATAAGCCTGCACAATCAGACACAACACAGTTCTGTTCTCATTTATGTTACCTGTATCCTTAGTTTGACATGGGCAGGGGAAGTGGGAAATGGGATCTGAAATGAAGTCCAGGGACTCAGGCCTTCCTCAGAGCACCTGGGCCTGTAGGCTTGTCAGTCCCTGTGACTCCACTGTCCCAACCACCCCCTGCCCCTGTGCTGCGTGGGGCTGTGTCCAGGCACAGACTCAGGATACTAGGACAGACCACCAAGGCACAGAATGGACCCAGGAATGTCTGCCTGGGGCCAGGTTTCCCCAGCCTTGTGGAGATGGTGTGTCTGTGTGTGCATGCGTGCTTACTCCTACAGGTCTTGCAGGTTCAAATGGGCCCTGTTATGGTCCCATGTGTTGGATCAGGATGCAGAGACAGCACAGGGAGGTCTTGCTGTCACTCATTTGATGCCTTGAGCAGCCGAGCGGCCACAGCCCTGTGAAGAGAGGCTCTCAGTCTTGGCCCTCAGTGCCATGTCGCCGTCAGAGCCTTACTAAGGCACAGAGGAGAGAGGTGACCAGCCTTCCTCGGTGCTTGAGAAGCTGAGAGCCCAGTCAGCTCCTACTTCTCCCAGCAGGGCCTTGAGAGAGGAGCTATCCCAGCTATCCTAGGTGAGGCTGGGTGAGCAGGAATTAAAGACTGAAATTTCCATGTCACAGGCAGTGAGGAGTGGGTGGGTTGTCCCCTGCAGGCACGTGGTGGGGCCTGGAGCTGGAGTGAGGAGCACAGCCAAGAGCAGAGGCACCTATGGTCCCAAGGGACACGGATCACCTGTTGCTGCCCTCCTGGGACAGCCTGGGGGTTGTGAGCCCAGGCTGCCATGTGAGATCTGGGAAGCCTGGTGGGTAGTGTGGGTCCTGGGAAGGTCGTGTGACCACATTTCAGTGTTCTTCTGCCCGCTAGTGCCAAAGGGCTGGGTTTGTCCTGGCGTGGCAGGGAGCAGGTCCCGGCTGGAGCAGAGCCAGCTCTGGCTCTCCTGGGCAGATTGTTAGGAAGAACAACACAGACTGGCTAACTGGCGTGCATTCTCTGTCTAACCTCGCTCTGGTAAGATCTGCTGTAGACCTTACCTTCTGGCAGCAGGCTGTGCCACGTTGCAGTGTGGGAGGAGTCTGGGAAAGTTGCTTGGTCATGATCAGGTGCAACCTCTGGCCTGAGACTAATGGGAAAGGCCAGGGGCCCTGGGCCATCAGGAAGTAGACCAAGACGGGTCCCGGTGCCCAGGGCCCATAATGTCCTGTGCTGGGCTGTATCATGGGAAGTACTCTCCCAGTGGCCTTGTCATCTCTCAGACCTGTACATCTGCAGTTGTGAAAGCCGAGGTGTTGTGGCCCAGGGCCTTTGGCCTCTGCTGCACTCGGTTGTGTGCTTGGGGACATGCAGTCTTCGGTGTAGCAGTTCTGGATAATGCATGGAGGTACAGCTCTGAAGCCAAGCCTCCTTCATACCTGTGTCCCACAGAGCCATCCTCCCGGATTTCTTTGCGGGCCAAGGAGCATGGAACCCCGCTGATGACTTTTTTACACCTTTCTTCGCCGAGTGGGTGAAAAGCAGAAATGCCAGAAAGATCGATAAGTAAGTTATCAGCCACTGTGGTGCCACCCGGGGAGGGGTGGGCCCGGGTCGCCACGTGGAAGCTGCCATCCTATCTCCATGTGGGATGTTGCATGGCTGTGGCCAACTGTGCCCCAGAGCCACAGACGCGTGCCTGCCTTCTCATGGGAGAGCCTGGCTGCCTTCCTCTTGAGACATTGCCCGTGGAATACTGCAGAGGAGCCCAGCTCAGGTCCTGAGTGCCATCATGCACCCTGAATGTTTGCAGTGTACACAGTCACGAATGTGTTGGTTAGAGAGCAAAACAGATGTTGGTGTCAGGTGGATATGGCCTTAGCTTGGAAGGCATCCTGGTGACAACTGGCTGCCATCTCCTGTGTGTTGGCTCCACTCCCAGGCAGCTCTTGCCCTGGGTGGGCCGGGTGGCTGTGGCAGCTCTCGCCTTCCCAGCTCCTCAAGCAGCAGTTCTGGTTGGTCTGTTGGGTTATGAGTAGGTCAGAAGTCTGTTGGAAGCAATCATCATGGCAGCAGGATGCTCTGCCCTGCTCAGGCCTGTCCCGCATCCAGGACTGGTGGGCCTCAGGGTGCAGTGCCCAAAGATTCAGCGAAGAGGGGCAGTTCACCCAGAGCTGGAGCCTGGTGTTTCTAGAAGAGCAGAGTGCAGACTCAAGCAGCCAGAGTGTGCCAGTGTTGGTCCAAGTCAATTGAAGAAGTTTGACAGGAAGGCGTGCTCATTTTTCCTTCTCTCCAGTGAGGAGTTATTTTGTGGATCAAAACATTCCTGAAAATCTAACAGTGAAACAGTAGTATGTTTTGCTGGCTGCATTTGGTTTTGCAGAATTTCCTAATTCTTGCTCATGACACAGCATGAAAAAACTACATGGACACTGAGTAGCGCTATCTCTTTTTTCTGAAACATCATCAAGCACATGGTTTTTTTGTTAAAACTGTGTTTTTTAAAAAATATATGTTGTTTTTTTTTTTACTGTAAAGTCAGATTTACAGAGGAAGGACAGAGTGAAAGCCCTTCTGTCTGCAGGCTTACTGCCCAAGTGGCTGCAATGGTAGGTTCTGAGCCAGTCCAAATCTCTGAGCCAGGAGAACCCTCCGGGTTTCCCTCGTGAGTGCAGGGTCCGAGGCTTTGGACCGTACAAGAATGTGCTCCGAGCACACAAGAAGAGAACTGGAAGGCAAATTTCAGAGCTGGATCAAAAACCTGTGTAAATGTGGCTTCCACCGCATGCAGTGGGAGGATTCAGCCATTAGGCTATTGTGCAGCGCCAAAATTTAACTAATTGAAATGTAGTTACAGAAAGCAATAATGAGAGAGAAAGAGAGAGAGACAGAGAGAGAGAGAGAGAGAAAGAGAGAGAGAGAAGAGATAGAGAGGCAGAAGAAAGAGAGTTTCTACCTGTTGATTCACTTGCAAATGTCTGCAACGGCACAGAAGGCTCTGTTAAAGTATGGAGCTTCATCCGGGTCTCTCTTATCGATGCTGGAGCCCAGGCACTTCCTGGGGCCATCTTCTGCAGCTTTCCAGTCCATTAACAGGGAGCTGGATCAGAAATGGAGTAGCCAGGATTTGAACTGGCGCCCATATGGGCTATCAGCACCACAGATGGTGGCTCTAGGTACTACAGCATAGTGCTGGCTCCACAATCATTTGGAATCATGTCTGATTGCACTTCAAGAGAAAAAGAGCCCTAAAACTGCTTTGTACTTTTGAAAAAATTGTAGCCATGAAGCATTTGCCTGCATCAGTTCAAGCAGAGCTCTCTGGCTGACCTGCATGTCTGCATGCAGCCTCTAATGGGAAATGCGTCCCAGTCCCAGGCTGCAAGAGCCCCCTGCCAAGGGCACTTCTTGGTCCCACTGTGGCTTACACAGCCTGGGCACTGTCCAAACAGGGGCACGGGAGTGGACAGGCAGTACTGCCTAGGGCTTGCAGGAGGAGATCGAGCCCCGGGGAGTATCTGGGAGCCTGATGGTGGTGGTTGTGGCCATTGTCTAAGAGCAGAGTGGGGGTGGGGCTCCCAGGTCAGGCCAGAACTGGCTCAGCAAAGAGCTCAGCATGCTGTGGCTGGCCTGGCAGCTGTGTGACTCAGTACTTTGTATCTTTTGGGTGGGAAGTGGGGGAAAACAGAGCTCTAAACCTAGAATCCCTATGGACAGTTGCAGACAACAGCTGCTGGGCGAGCCCTGTGGTCAAGGGCATGGGTCAGAGGGCCACAGGGTAACTGCTGACTCTCTGATGCTTCTTTCCCCTTTCCTTCCCTTTTCTTCTTTTGTCTTGTTTTCTTCCTTTAAGATGTAGTTAGTTAATTGAGAGGCAGAGTTACAGAGCGAGAAACTGTCTATTTGCTGACTCCTCTGCAAATGGCCACAATGGCCAGGACTGGACCATGCTGAAGCCAGGGGCCAGGAGGTTCTTGTGGGTCCCCCATGTGGGTGCAGGGTCCCAAGGGCTTGGCCATATCCTCTGCTGCTTTCCCAGGTGCCTTAGCAACAAGCTGCACGGGAAGTGGAGCAGCTGTGAGTAGACCCGAGGATGCTGGTGCTGCCAGCTGGGACCTGACTGCCGTGCACAGTGCCAGGCACGCCTTCTCATTTTCCCTGTTGTAGAGAGTTTGATGCGGTGCTGAGGTACCTGAGGCAGCAGTGCGGTGCCCAGAGGATTGGCGTCGTGGGGTTCTGCTGGGGTGGCATTGGCGTGCACCACGTGATGTCAACATACTCAGACGTCAGGGCTGGAGTGTGTGTCTATGGTAAGTTGTCCTGTGCGTCATCAACACCAGAAGTGGGAGGTGTCTGTGGTGGGGGTGGGTGGCGATGGCGGGATTGAGCGACAAAAAGCACGCCCCTCTGCCTCCTGGAGCAACAGGGATCCCCGACGTGCAGACAGCCTGTCTTTAGGAGTCAGGGCAGGCCGACCACGCAGGTACCAGGGCCTGGGCCCTGCCAAGGCCTGTGTCTCCTTTGCCTTCTTAGTTATGACTGTTATTAGTTGTCAAGATTCACTTCTGTAACTGAAGGAGTTACACATCGAGAGAAAGGTCTTCCATCTACTGATTCTCTCCCCAAGTGGCTGCAGTGGCCAGGGCTGAGCCAGGCGGTAGCAAGGAGCCAGGGGCTGTATCCAGGTCTCCCTCGTGGGTGTAGGGGCCCAGGCACATGAGCCTCCTTCCACTGCATGCCCCGGGTGCACTAGAGGGAGCTGGGTAGGACGTGGAGCAGCCCACATTGCAGCAGTGGCTTCACTCACTGTGCGCCAGCACCGAGGCTCCATTTGTTTACCTGGGAGGTGGGCGGTGTGGGGAGGGTCACAATGTTTTGTCCTGTCCTGATGATCAATTACTTGATTAATTGCTTATATTTTTAGTAAGCAATGCTGATGAAATTCTTTCCCCAATAAGAGTTATTCTCGAACAGAGACATGCTCACACACACAGAGAACGGCGAGAAGTGAAACAGTCAACCTGCTTCCAAATGCAAATGCCAGTTTATTGCTCTGGAAGCAAGCAGACCAAAGCTATGAGAGCAGGGACGTGAGCACGGCTCGTATGCAGAGCCTGCGTGCTAAATCCATGACAAAGAGATGAGACGCCCAGAAAGTGTTCACGGCAAGATACCCAGGAGATCCTCTAGTTACACTAACGATGCTCACCTGCCTCAATTGTTCCTCACTGTGCTATTTTCACTCTTAGCATCTAAGCGGGGGAAAAAGGCCTTTAACATTTGCTGGCACTAAGGGAATGAACTCAGGTGCTGTTGGGCCCAAGTGGCTTGAACCTGCCTTTGTATGAATCAGCAGCAGGTGCTCCTGCGTGGACGCCTCGCTCTCGCCACCTGCTGGCCCGGGTTGTGCAGGACTGGATCCCAGTGGTGGTAACCACTCTGAACAGGGTAGGGCGGCCCAGGGAGCGTGGCCATCTTCCCTGTTTTGCTGTAACTCCCTGGAACGGAGTTGGCATGAGCGTACCCCTGTTCCCCTTTGGCTGGGTGTGCGATGTTTAGGTAATTTCTGACAGTTCTGGCAAACCTGCAGGCTGTTGACATAAATCCCTGTACTCGGCAGAGCTGATGCTGATTCTGGGATAAGTATGCCATCCTAGTCTTACAGAAGCATTGGCAAGGCCCTGGATCACGGGCTGCAGCTTCAGCCTGGGGTGTTACCTGAGCACCTTTCCATGCCAGGGAGTCCTGTGCCTTTCCTTTGGAACAGGGGACGTGTAGAGCAACTTGGAGGACATGGATATCATCCTCACCCTCGTAAAGGCAGATATACCCGCTGCCCAGGCTGCCCCCGTCCAGCCAGCATGCTTCAGGAGCTGAGAGTTCCCCACGACCGAGGTGGTACGTGGGTGGCTGGTCAGGCTCCTGGTGACACTTATTCCACTGCTCAGGCCTTTTCTATGGAATCCCAAGAAATAATACACAACCATAAAAAGAAAAAGAAAGCCTTTAAATGCATTCTTGGACAAACCAAACCCAGGCTGAGCAGCGCACCATGCACTCTCTCATGCCCTGAACCCACTTTCAGGTGTCGTCAAGGACTTCGGAGATATTTACAATCTCAAGAACCCCACGCTGTTCATCTTTGCGGAAAACGACATTGCCATCCCACTGGAGCATGTAAGTGGCACGTGTCTCTATGTATGTGCTGCATCAAGAAGCTAGTGGAAAAATGAATATGGAAGCAATGAGGTTTATTGTGGTGCAAGGGATCCTGAAATCCATGTGGTTTTTACAACATGTGCATTTTACACATAATCTGCACCTTTCTTGTTGTTGAGATTTATTTCAGAAGCAGAGTTACTGAGAGATAGAGAGCAGAGATCAACGCAGACACAGAGTGAGGGAGAGAGGTCTCGCATCTGTTGGTTCACTCCCCAAACAGCTGCAACGGACAGGGGTGTGCTGAGGTGCAGTCACGAAGCAGGAACTTTGTCTGTCTCCATATTGCTACAGCAAGTACAAAAACTTGTGCCATTTTCTGCTGCTTTTCCCAGGCAATTAGCAGGAACTGAAGTAAAAGTGGAGCAGCTGAACTCAACCCGGTTTCTGTCTGGAATACTGTCCCAATGGCAGCTTAATGCACTGAGCCACAATGCAGATCTCCCTCTACCCCCACCAGTTTTTTAAAGATCTTTTGCATGGCTGGATTCAATTGTTTGCACCCAAATAAGCTGTTCTTTCTTTTTTCAGAACTCTGTTAGTTACACAGCTGAAGGCGGAGCAGTCGCTGCTCTCTAGGCCCTGCTTGTAACCTAGAGCACTGCTACTGGAGAGTCTCGCATGGGGAACGGGAACAGTCCTGGGGGTCACATGTCCTGACATCTTCCCATCCCAGGTCGCGCAGCTGACCCAGAAGCTGAAGGAACACTGCAAAGTTGAGTACCACATTAAGACGTTTCCTGGACAAACTCACGGGTTTGTGCACCGGAAGAGAGAAGACTGCGCCCCTGAAGACAAGCCGTATATCGAAGAGGCCAGGAGGGACCTCATCGAGTGGCTGAACAAGTACGTGTAGTGTGTAGTGACCGAGTCCAGTCGTCTTCAGCCAGAAATTTGCTTTGCAAGAAATCATTGAATTCTCACTTTCTGTAACATACAGGTAGGGATCCTGAAATCCATTCTTATGTCAGACACACAAAGTTGGGAATGCTCACGCATGAAAGCAATTTAACTGTAACACGTACATGAAATAAAGCTGTAAGATCATAGTTCAGTGCCTAAACAAGCTGGACGATAAATGCCTTGACGTCACATAGACCTGGGGCTGTTCAGGGACCGGGCGGCATCTCAGGGGGGCCTGGCCTGCAACTGGACGCATCCTTTCCATGCCTGAAGTGCAAAACCAGGGCAACTATGGACCATACCCAGGCAGAGGAGGAGCCCAACTTCAGAGATATTTGTCTTAAGAGAGCTGGATTTGTCACAACCACACATCATATATGGTTTCTAGTGACTCAAGCCTGTGAAGCAAAGTAAGCACAATTCTTTGGACTTTTAGCTTTTAAGTAAAAAAAAAATTGTTTTAAAATTTTTTACTTGAGAGAATTAGATTAGGCCTGGCGTTGTAACCTAGTGGCTAAAGCCCTAGCCTTGTATGTGGTGGGATCCCATGAGTGTCAGTTCCTGTCCCAGCTGTACTTCCCATCCAGCTCCCTGCTTGTGGCCTGGAAAAGCAGTTGAGGACGGCCCTTAAGACTGCACCTGCATGGGTTGCACGCAGGAAGCTCCTGGCTTCAGATCACTCAGCTCCAGCTGTTGTGGCCACATGGCGTGAACCAGTGGAAAGGAGACCATTCTCTGTCTCTCTGTAAATCTTTTTTCCAATAAAAAACTAAATAAACATTCAAAAGTTAGATCTTGCACTTGCTGCAAGGCCATTAGCAGAGAGGGGAATGAGAAGTGACGCAGCAGGAACTGAACCGACACCCATACAACGTGCTGCTGTCCTGAGCGAGCGTACCTTCCACACGATGTGGCTCCAAACTAAAAAAAAAAACCTTTCTAAGGGAAACATTTACATTTTTTAAAATTGAAAAGCAGATCAGATTTCTAGAGGAGAAAATTCCTGCATTCACTAGTTCACTCCACAAACATGTGCTATGCTCAGAGATGAGCCAATCCAGGAGGAAGCCAGGGTCTCCCAGCAGGTGCAGGGTCCTGAGGCTTTGGGCCATCCTCGACTGCTTTCCTAGGCCACAAGCAGGGAGCTGGATGGGAAGTGGAGCTGCCCGGATTAGAACCAGCACCCATATGGGATCCTGGTGCATGGGAGGTAAGAACTTTAGCCTTTAGGATTTGCGCCGGGCCAACAATGTGTGCAATTTAGCTATGGAGCCAATTCCAAAAATATTCTTCTTGCACAACATATAACATTAGTGTTTTTGTGTGGTATTGTGCAAAAGTTCAGCAAACAGATTTGTTTCTCTTCATCAACTATAAAATACCAGATGAGGTGACCCCACTGTCTGCCAGGCAGTGGTTAGGCTGCCACTGTCATCTTGGGGTCCCAGGGTCAAGACTGAGTGAGGTGACGGGTCACATGGAAGATATGTGTTGTGCCTCCCTGGGTCCTGTGTATACTCTGTCCATGTCTTGTGACTTTGCTCCAATTGGAAGTCTGTCTCCCGCGAGTGGCCAGTAGCTAACGAGACTGGGCATATAGCTTGCCAGGGAATTTGGCTGTGGGTCTTTTCAGCATGGGACACCTGTCTGCACTGGCAAATGCCCCTGTGGCTCTTGCCTGACCCGTGCCCAGCTTCTTCCTGCCGAGCCAGCCACTCTCTGCAGGAGAATCCTGGCTGGGCAAGGAGCCAGGGTGAGGCCAGACACAGGCCGTGCTGCAGAGGCAGACCTGGGGGAGTATGGCCAGGGCAGGAGGGAGCTTAGGGACCAGCATCATCGCCCTATGTGTGGGCAGCAAGCGAGGAGTTGTTCCAGGAGCCACCACACCACGCAGGCAAGGTCCATGCGGGGTCCATCAGCAGGCTGCACGTAGCTACACCTGGAGTGGATTGTAGGAGGACCCTCACACCTGGGAACTGTCAGAGGTGACAAAGCCCTGGGTGTCCAGGCAACCTGAGGCTGACAGCCACTGCAGCCAGGGCAAGGATGCCTTTGTGTGTCATCCAGGGAAAGGAGCAGCCTCACCCCGTGAACGCTTAGCCTGAAGCCAGGGCCACACCTGCGACGCACACTGCGGCTGCCTCCCAGTGCCAGTGCTGTGTGGCTGGCCTTGCTGGTCCGGTCCAGTGGGCACAGACAGGAGTGGAACTAAGGACAAAGGGTTGGGGTGTCTTTCAGGATCCTGTGGTGAGCCAGGTGGCTCTCTCTCTCAGCTCTGACCTCCCTTCTGGGGTCTTATACCAGCACTGCCAGTGGCACGGTGTGTGCGTTTCCCAAGATTCCCTATTTGACACCCAGTACACAGCACGTAAGTGGTCTCCCTTTTTCCCAAGTAGTTATATGTTCACAAATACAGTTAAAAACAAGTCAGCTTCATTTTCATAAAATTGACCATGGCAATGCCACCTCCAACCCAGGCCGTGGGAAAGGTGCAAAGATCCAGTTGAGGAAGACACCGTTGACCTCCTGGCTCCCTGAAAAGACCCAGGACCCGAAGGGGTTTTATGGACATGTATCTAGACTTCCCCCACCTTTGCTCATTAGCCGTTTGTCTTCAGTGTCCTCCTTTCTGAGTCTTCAAGGGTCCACCTTCTGTAGGCTGCGTGCATGTAGCGCCTTCTTGGCCAGAGCCTGAGTGACCAACCCGTCTCACCCGACACTTACTCTCCTGTCTGCAAGCTCCCACCCTGTAGGGAAGCTGCTCCTTCAAGGGCAGAGAGGGCAGCTGGCATTGTGGCTTGGTGTATTAGGCTGCTGACCCCCAAGATGCCTGCTCTCACATGTGCACTGGCTCATTCCAGCATGTTCCACTCCCACCAGCCCATGCTAACGCACATGGGAAAGCAGTGAATGTGTGCTTGAGTGCCTGCCACCCAAGATGAACTGGCTTGCTCTGCTAGTTCTGATCTTGCACACAGAGGGACAGGAATGCAGGATGGAACCAGGCCAGCTAGAGCAGAGATGGAGAGCCATCTGTTAACAGAGCATGCTGTGTTTCAGAGTAAGCCATGTGCACACCTGAGACCCCCTCCCCCCCATTTGTGGTGACAACATACATCAGTGGCCTTTGCCATGGCTCAACTGGCTAACCCTCTGCCTGTAAGTGGCTGGATCCCACATGGGTGTTGGTGCATGTCCCAGCTGCTCCAGTTCCCATCCAGTTCCCTGTTAATGTGCTTGGGTAACAGTGAGGGTTGGCTAAGATCCTGAGATCCTGCACCCATGTCAGAGACGTGGAAGAAGCTCTAGCTTTGGAGCAGTTCAGCTCTGGTCACTGTGGTCCCTTTGTCCGTCTCTCCTTCTCTCTATAAATCTACCTTTCCAATAAAAATAAACATACCTTGAAAAGAGCATCTATGAGCGGGGGCTATAAGACTCCTGTCCCCTGTGTGGAAAGGAGTACGACCATGTCCAAATACTCTCAGTGTTAAAATAAACCTTGAGGACACCCCCAACTTGTGACTTCTGGCTGGCAGAGGGAACGCTCTCCATCCTTAGCACTTCATCCAAAAACATAAGCCCATCCCCCAAGAATAAGACATAAACACCCACCTGTCCTTTAAGAGCCCCGAAATGTACCAGAATCCCTTTCATGAAGGTAGCAATGAGCATCTCTTACAGGCTATTTAGGGTCTGCATTTAATAGGAACACAAGAGCTTGTGCAAGTACTCCTAGAATTACAGTCGTGACCAAGGGGGACCATGTTGACCAACCAGCTGCTTTATCACGGCCCTGGAGCCTGAAAAGACTTAACAATAAATAAGCAGATGTGTCAATCACTCGGGGGTCTTCCTGACACATCAGACTCTCAGCTTTATTCTTCAGATTCTCCAGGCTTACGGATGTCATCAATCTTCAAAATCATTCTCACCATCTGGGTTGCCAGGGAGATCTGTTGCTTTTTGCCAATCAAAGTTTCTATGACATGTTGTTGCTTCATATCTGAAAAATACAAGTGAAGTGATTATCCCAACCTAGCCAGTACCAGGTCATCTGTCGACTATCAGTCAGCAGCTCTGGCTTATGGAAGCACAAACAGAACACTCTCAGGCTACCGAGGACACACACCTGTCACCCTCTGCGGCCAGGACTCAGCGTGGTCCAAGCAGTGTGAATGAACGAGAGCCCTGTTCCCACAGGCTCAGGCTGCCATGCCTTTGCTCTGCTTCGTGCTGGAACCCCAGTGGGCACAGCACTTACCAAGCCCCCTGTTGCCCATGGAACACGAGGGGTCTTAGGAAAACTGCACTGAACTTTACAATCCCATTTTCTGTCGGCTTTCTGAAGACTCTTTGCACACCACGTAACACATTATAACCAAAAGTTCACTGTGGAGAGGTTTTATGTGGTTGTCAGAACGCACGGAAACCTTTCTACAGAAAGTGAGACGGCCATCATTTCCAAAACATGTCCATCTTTGGGAAGCAGAGCAGCACCATGCATCGGCTACCACCGCGGGAATGGGTTTTATGCTGTCCCGCAGGGTTAGCAGACTTAGTAAGACCACTTAAGGCAATCAAATGAAACCTAGAGTTCAGGACCTGAAGATGGAAACGATGCAAATCTGAAAAAGCCGACAGTGCCCCAGCGTGCATTGCACACTGCTCAGAACACAGTGTGACAGGTTCAGTGTGAGCCAAGCAGCCCCTGCTGCGGTGTGAACCTGGCTGTCCCTCAGCAACGCAGGCTGACATATGCTGGCCACTGCCGTGGTGTTGGGAGGTGACCAGGTTCTTTGGAGGGACTTTAGGGAGTGGGTCCTTCCCTTGAGTGTCCCTCTGCACGGCCCCTCCCCAAGGGGGCCCCCGACCCTGGACCTGGCGGCTCTCTCCTCACCATTGGTGCCCCTGTGCAGGCAGTCGATCCCAAGAGCGGGGTTCATCTCCTTCACTTGTCGGGCTCGCACCTCGGACATGGTCTGGATGGGGTTCATGCCGCTGTTCTCGGCAAGCGCCATGGGGATGACCTCCAGGGCGTCGGCGAAGGCCCGCATGGCATACTGCTCCAGGGTCGGACACTGCAGGGGCACATGGTCATTAGGCACACTTGGCAGACAGAGCAGGCTGGCAGTGGTCTGCCACCAGGACACACACTCTGAAAAGCCATCGAAGAGTTTGGGGGCAGGCTATCTTGTCTACTTTCAGTTGATCATAGATTGACCATGTCGCTGCAGAATTAAGGAGGCTCGTCCCGGCAAAGTGAATCTTCACACTCTGAGCTATGGCAGCAAAACAGTGAAGACTGTGGAGCCTAATCATTCCTGTCAAGGGCACAGTCACTGGAAACGCCTGAGCTGAGAAGTGGGTGTGGGAGAGGAACGGGAATGCTGGGACAGGGTGCCTGCCCCATGGCCTCCTGCATTGCTGCCCCATGCCTCACCTTGTCTGCCTCCCGGCTCACCGCCAGAGCGCATGAGATCTCGGCAGCTCCTCCCCCGTACACCACACGGTTGTCTCGGATGAGGTTCCGGATGACACACAGGGCGTCATGAAGGGATCGCTTCGCTTCCTCGATGATCTAAAGCAAAGTTCTCTCTCAATCCATGTCATCAAGAGATACTGATGTCAAAACCCAAATCCATGGTTCCCCCCTTATACGCTGGTGTATTAAGGAGGCCGCCTGCTCAGAGTCTGTCCCAAGCCATGCACAGGGAGACCTGGCTGCAGCCTCCAGCCCTGGCCAACATGGACATCTGTGGAATGAGGCAAGCAGTGGTTGGAAGATCGAAGTCTCTCCGGCTGCCTCTCCCAGTTAGTCCTCACAGAACCGCGGAGCACCGCGTGGCACTGATTCCTTTATTCACCAGCTGCCTCACCACACAGCTAAGTTCCACAGAGGCAGTGGCACCAACTCATTTCATGATTGTCATTAAGCAAGGGGGTGAAAATCCAACCAATAAAACATCTTGAAAATTTGCATTCGTCACAATGTGCCATAAAATTCCTTCTTGAGTGAAGAGATCTGAACGGATCATGGACAAGGACCCGGTTCTACTGAAGGGACAGGAACAAGCCCTTGCAAACTGACACTTTAAAACAGTCTCACTCAGCTAAGGTGTAATACACATTCTGAGAAGAGTAACTTTTCTTTTAAGGTAGTCAGCTGTTTTAATACCTCATGGGCAAATGGAGTAGCAAGATCAGATAAAGCATACATGAGAATCCTCACCATTTTATTCCCTCCTCGAATGAAAATGGTCACTGCCCTGGAGTTCTTGCACTGCTCAATCACCAGCATTTTATCTTTGGTCGTCCCAAAGGAGATCTCGCGGACAAGCCCAGCAAAGCCCAACTTCTCTGGCGTGAGTTCCGAGAAGCGTGGGACGATGCGCCCCCCGGTGGCGATGGCGATCAGCTGCAGTGAGGGTCAGGGACAGGAGACCAGCTGAGCCTGGGGCTGGTGCTGTCCAGCTCTCCCACCCCACAGGACTCCCTCTGCTGAGCCCAGCAGCACCTGGGCGGCAAGGGGTGTCAGGGAGATCTTCCTGCCTCGGCAAGGCACTAAGGACATGTGGGAACCACCTCAAAAAGCCGTGAGGCACCCGAGATGCATGAACGAGTCCAACAAGCGTCTCTCACGGCCCCTGCTCGTGCCATGCTCTTTCCACCCAAGCCCAAACACTGTGTGTCACCCAGTGAGCGCCCACACACACCAAGGGCTCTACACTCAACCTTCCCGGAAAGGCCCTCCCCAGGCAGCTTCCCACCTCAATCTCCGGCCCGCCGACCCAACGAACTGCAGGCAAGCTGTTCTGAAGAAGCAAGTGGTTGGCTTCATCGTCAAAGCCCCACTGGCAGATGGCTAGGTTAGCACCAGTGTCCTTAATCTGTGAGAAGAAATACACATCACGTAGTCAGGTGTCACTTCGGTAACACTTGTATGACAGGGGAGACAGGTGGGTACAGGAGGGTGTGTAAGCAGGCCCGGCACATCACAAGCACAGCAGAAGGAAACCCCTGTCCCATTCATTCCAGATCCCAAACAACACACTTCTATCAGCTGGAATCATTTTAGTATCTATGCTTTAAAACCACCACCAGCAGTCTCTGTTGAAATCCATCTCCAAGTGAAGCAGAAGATGGTCGTGGAAGTGACCGAGGCCCAGAGCCACCCGGCCAGCAGGCAGCTGTGCAGGCGTCCCGAGGGGCTGTGTGCTCGCCAGCACCCCTGCAATCCTCCCTCTCTGGAGCAAGGGCCGCTCTCTCCCGAGGGGACAGCCTGGTCCTCCCTGCCCACGCCTTCTGGATCTCGTCCTCAACCCCTTCCCTCTCCCAGCTGTCACACAGTCCATTCACAGGCAGCCTTACCGTCCCCTCCAGCTGTGAGCTAAGCCCAGCCTGCCCTGCAGGAAACCGCTGCCGCTTCCTCCTGAACATGGCAGCCATTTTGCTCCCGGCCTCAAGATGGAAAGGGCCCTTCCTCTACTCCACAGCTCCTACAATGTTCCCGTTTGTGTCCCTCCTGCTCATTCCTCCCCCTTCCCCAGGCCACACCTCTTCGGGACCCCAGTGAGGAGGCTCCGCCCACTGAGGTTGGCTGCAGAGCCCCACCCTCTCGGCCGGCTCTCTGACCTCACCCCAGGGTCAGCCTTCTCTCAATGCTGCCCCGGCTGTCCTTCAGATCCTTTACAACTCACCCGCCTGGTCTGCAGCAGCCACTGAACTTGACAGTGTGCCCACAGCAGGCGTGACGACGCTGCTGGCATGCCCTCCGTGCTAAGCACCATCCTATCCTACAGCTGGGGCCGGGGTTCTCGGGCACTGGGCCTTCTGCTCTGCCAACTCCTCACAGGACAGCCACCTCAGGCGACAGTGCCCATGTGTGGCAGGCCCAGCCCAGCGGTGCCCACTCTTCCAGGCACCCTAACCACCATTTCAACACAGAACTGGATGTCTCCATCCTTTTATGCAGTTCTGTGCCGTGTCTTGCTGTGTCTGCTTACTTTCAAGTACTCAAACGGCTCCAAAAGGAGCTGACCTCCACCGGCACCAGTACGGGCTGCTGGGATGGCAGAAGTGGTATGCACTTGGTGCAGCACCAGCCAGGTAAGGTGTGGACAGTCATTACGCGGACGTCCCCCACAGCCACAGGATGAAGTGTCCAACACAGAAGCTGGCAGCAGGCACTAACCATGGCGTTGGTGGGAGCCCCACCTGCCCTGCCCTGCAGCAGACTCACCTGCTGAATCATCTCCTCAAACTTGTCCTTTTCGTACTTCTGGAGAGCCCTGTAGTCTTCCACAGAGGTCACGTCCAGCTTGTGCTTGGTCTTCGGCTTAGGTGGTTCGAAGGGACATGTGAGAATTGCAATCTTGGCGTCCTCCACTTTCTGCAAGGCAAGCACGAGCTCTGTCAGCAGTGGGCCTGCGCCGGGAGCAGCAGAGCCGGGAGCGGGGAGCAGGGGCCAGGGGAGCTGGGGGCAGGGAGCCGGGGCCAGGGGAGCTGGGAGCAGGGGAGCCGGGAGCAGGGGAGCTGGGGAGCCGGGAGCAGGGGAGCAGGGGAGCTGGGGAGCAGGGGCCAGGGGAGCTGGGGCGGCAGCCACTTACCTTCGGCATCTGCGGGTGACTGAAATCCTTGTCCACAATCACGCCCTTGATGAGCTGAGTGTCCTCCAGCCGCCCGCCCACTTTTCCTTCCACTTTGATGAGCTCAAAATCCACATCCCTGCGCTCCATGTCCGCCACCGTGAGCACAGCATTCACGGCGATCTCGGCCATCTGCCGGTGACAGCTGTTGACCCTGGGCACGCGACACAGCACGCACCTGTCAGTCCATGCGACAGTCATGACCGCGGAGGCAGAGCATGGTGACCCGTAACTTAGTGACAAGCGCGCAGGAGGGAACAGCATCCTAAGCCGCCTTTCCCAGGCACTCCAGAGCGGATCACGGCCTCGACGGGCAAGCAGCCCTGGTATCCTCACCAAGGCCCCGCCTCCCTGTGGCACGGGTGGCACAGCAGAGGCCAAGGCGGCACTACTTTCAAAGTATCCTGACTGGGAATGGCAGGAATTGGTGACCCCCCCCAGTGAGGTCTGGCTGTGACTCTGAGCATGGGGTCCAGGGCAGCCCATCTTTGATGCCCCCACCCACCAGCACAAGGTGGGAACTTTCAACCTCTGAACAGACTGCTCGGTCAGCATGAGTCTGGGAGGCCCCAAGGGGCATCTATGTGAAATACACTGCCTGGTGTCTTGTCACCTGGAGAAATGCAACTAAAAATGCCATCAGTGTCCTAAGCAGGCGCCCCACAGTAAGTGGGATGTATAGGGCCACAATCCCACCGGGCATACCTCTGGCAGCACAAACATCCACAGACTTCTAAGGACCCATGAGCAGAGCGGGTCCATTCACAGTGCACCACTAAGAGACGCCAGTGCACTCTTCTCAACAGGGCTGTCACTGACCAAGGCTTCCACTCGGGCACAGAAAAAGAACTTTTACGTCAAAAATGACTTCACACAAAGACGTATAACAAAGCAGCCTGTCCCTCGGCCGAGCTGCTGAAGTTCCCAGGAAGCGGCAGATGTCAGCAGCTATCAGGCAAGCAGGCGGCCAAAAACGAGTTAGACTCACGTAAGCTAGGCCCCCCCAAGCACGGCCTTTCCTGGCAGGTACAGAGCACCCAGCCTGATCAATGAAAGCGCCATGCGATTCACAAACGTCAAGAAGACTGAACAAGTGAACCTGGAAATTCAGCTTCCAACTGCAACATAAACACCTGTGTCTTACACCATTGCTAAGTAAGACAAACCCCAAACTAGCAGGAACGCATCAAATCCGCATCCAAGCAGCTTTCCCAAATGCGCAAATGCACACACACACACATCCACCCGCACTCAGCTGGAACCTTCCACCAGAACGTACACTTTGGAGCCCAGGGTGGTCTTGGCAGTCTGAATGAGGGGCTCGGTGTCCTTCATGTCCACGAGGACGCTGTCGCTGATCTTGTCCAGGTGCTCGATGGCGATGCGGGCAGCCTGCTCGTAGCCGTCGGCTATCCGGATCGGGTGGATGCCTCGGTCCAGCAGCTGCTCGGCTTCCTCCAACAAGGCACCAGCCAGCACTGCAAACAGAGTAGCCACTGTCCAGGAAAAGGCTCAAACCAAACGCTCCCTGGGACCAATAACAAGCAGGAGCTGCCTTGTAAGTTAGAAAGTTCCAGAATTAATCTAGAAGTCATCTTTGAGGCTGAGGCCCCTGTTTTGGAAGGAGAACTTGTGCTAGCTCCAGCGAAGTTCTAAGAGGTCCCATGGCCCATCCTCGGGGATGCCGCCACCCGCTGCTCTCCCAGCACTCTTGGAACAGCAGTGGGCACCGCAGAAATGCCTGGCGACCAAGTATTTGCAGAAAAGGTGCCCTGGGTTTCCATTCTGTTTTCTTACTTAATATGGCACCATGCTTTGTTAACATATGCCTATTGTTGTCCAGTTCAAGTATTAATTCAAGATAAAAAAAAATTCATTAGTTATTTGGGAGGAAGCGAGACACAGAGAAAGATCTCCTAGCCTCTGCAACTCCCCAAAGCAGGGACACCATCAGGCTGAAGTCAGGAGACAGGGGACTCAACCCAGGTCTCCCTGGTAGATGGCTGGGCCACCATGTAAGCTACACTTGTCACCCGCCAGGGAGGGCATCAGCAGGAAGCCGGAACTGCGAGTGAAGCTGGACTCAACCCAGGATCTGGACAGGACGTATGCTGTGTCTTAAGGGCCAGTAACCCCTGCGCTGAACGCCCAGGCCTAAATATGTCAGAGGCAGTTGAGAACAAGGTATTCTTCCACATCACTGCAGCTCTTTTATTGAAGAAACTTGACACTGAAACTGTTACTTAGTACCTGATCCAAACCCAACCCCCCTCCGAAACACACCCAGCAAACAAACCCCTACAGATGAGCAAGCTCACGCTGGCCGGCCGCCCACAGCGGCTCTCCCCGCCAGGCCTGCACTCCTCCAGCACGGCGCGTGTCCTTACCGACCACCCCTGTGGTGCCGTCCCCGATCTCGTCATCCTGGGACTTGGAGAGCTCGACCATGAGCTTGGCGATCTGGTGGTCCACGTCCATCATGCTCAGAATGGTGGCCCCGTCGTTGGTCACGGTGACATCACCGTCCTTATCCACCATCATCTTGTCGAGGCCTGAAAGGACAGCACTGGTCAGAAGGATCAAAGCCAGCCGGACTGCCAGCGTCGGCTCACCCCAAGTCTCAACCACGTCCTTGTGCTTCTCACGAGCACGTGTCTAGATTGGCCCAAGTCAGAGACGTGGGACTAATTATGGGCTCCACTAAATACAGTTCTAATCTCAAAAGATGACAAGCATGGTTTCTGGAAAATCACAATGAGACGACAACTAGAAAAGAAGGTCTGCTCTTACATTACAAGCATATTTTAGTCGTAACCACATTTTAAAAGTCTAAAATTCACCGAAAAGCCCTGTCTCTGCTAGGGGAACAGGACATGTTGTCGTCCCACCACTCCGTTTCTGTGCAACTATAGGATTTAAAACTTCTGACTCAAAAACACAGAAATGTTAAATTCTTACCATTTGGTCCAAGCGATGTTCTCATTGTGTTGGCTACAGCCTTTGCTGCCATGATGTGAGACTGAAGGAAACACAGAAAGGAAGGTCACAGCCCATCCCCACGGCTCGGGGCAGTCCCCGTCTCCACAGCCTGGCAGCGATGGGTATCAGGCCTAACCTTGGTGTGGCAACATGCAGTCTGACCTGACGGGCACACCACCTGGCAATCACTTGCTGGTTTACTGCACTGCTGTTTCAGGTGGCTGAGCCAACACATACCCGCACACAGAATCACCTGTGCCTGTCCAAGTTTATAAAAGCAATCGATTCTGAAAGAAGCAAAGTTCTACTAAGTGGTTAACAATGTCACAGGAAACTGCCCGTGCACAAATAACCTGTTGTCGCTCTTTAAAAAAAACCCTGCTTTGAGGCTGGCCAATGGCTCAATTGGCCAATCCTCCACCTTCAGGTGCATGTGCCCCATATGGCTGCCTCACTTCCAATCCAGCTCCCTGCTTGTGGCTTGGGAAAGCAGTGGAGGATGGCCTAAAGCTTGGGAAGTGGGGCCTAGTGTGATAGCGTAGAGGTTAAGGACCTCGCCTTGAACATGCCGGGATCCCATATGGGTGCTGGTTCTAATCCCAACTGCTCCACTTCCCATCCAGCTCCCTGCTTGTGGCCTGAGAAAGCAGTCAAGGATGGCCCAAAGCCTTGGGATCCTGCCACCTGCATTGGAGACCTGGAGGAAGTTCCTGACTCCTGGCTTCGGATCGGCGCAGTACCGGCCGTCGTGGTCACTTGGGGAGTGAACCACCGGATGGAAGATCTTTCTGTCTCTCCTCCTCTCTGTAGATCTGACTTTCCAATAAAAATAAATAAATCTTAAAAAAAAAGAGAGAGTTCAGGAAGCTAACCAGTGGGTGGAAGATCTTTCTGTTTCTTCTGTCAAACTGTCTTTTGAATAAAAACAATTCTAAGAACAAACAAACAAAACTTTGCTCAGGAAAGTGCAAGAAAGCGTTCTCTTCCCCCTTCCGGCTATTCCGGCGCTGGCTGCTTCTCCACCTACAGCATGGGCCTGACTCCTCTCAGGGCGCCTGCAAACTGAGCCTGCTGACTTCAGCAGCCCAGTACTGCTGCACTGCTAACACGGAACACACTGCAAGGAGCTACACGACTAAAAACGTCTCAACAACACATCACGCCTCAGGCTCTAATGGGAAAAAGCGCCCATCCTCTTCACCCAAGAAAATGCTGAACTCTTAGCTCACGCCACTCTTCCTGCTGCCCCGAGCTTCTCACATACTCTGGCTCTGCATCTCTACACATCCCCAGGCGTGGAGCCCCAGTACTCAAACATGCCACCCCAGAGCAGAGCTGGGCAGACAGCCCCAACTCGGATGTCTACGTTCCAAGGAAGAAAAACGGGCATGTTCCTGATTTGCAGGCGAGTCACTGGAACTTGGGGAATATTGGTTGGAGCATCCTGGCTAAACACGCTGAGTCCCTCCCCACGCTGAAGGATCCTGCTCCGGTTCCACCCTCAGCTGGTCAGCACAGAACCCCAACCCAGCACAGCCAGCCAGCCTCCCAAGGGCTTCGACAATCCCCAGCCTTCAGCTTTTCTTCAAAGCCCTTCCCCGCCGGCGGCCTAACCCAGCTCCCGGTCCAGCTGCCTCGCTCTAGATGCGCTGCCACAGGCGTGCTCAGTGAGGCCGCCTGGTCCTCCACCTGGCAGGCCAGAGAGCAGCCACTTGCGGCAACACAACGAATTCTCGCAACACTAAGCCTATTAGGACGTCCACCTCGGGAATCTGGCGGGCCAAGGGCCCGCTCCCCATCAGCAGGGGACAGGTCAGACACTGTGCACCGTCCGCTCCTGCCCACTCATGGTCCACCGTGCAGGGCCAGTGACCTGGGCTCAACCGCTGCAGTAGTGTGCAGGGAGCCCCCCGCATGGCTGACGGTTAGACAAGCTGTGGCTGTCCACCCGGAGCCCTGGACGCTCTCTCCGCAGAGCCCTTGAACGGGAAAGCGGAGTTCCAGATACTGCCAAGTAGCCTGACCCTTTCTCTTGGGAAGGGGAAGTAGGGTAGGAAGCGCGTGCGGCCCCTAGGTGAGCTATCTGTCCTGTCCAGTCCTCAGGAACACCTGCCGATGGCCCCCACCTAGGCCGGCCAGTCTGCGCGAGACCCGGGCCGCTACAGGCCTAAGGAAACCGCCCACCCTGGTCTGCGGCCTCGGCTCTCCAGCACGCTGCTCGCAAGCCTCCTCCCTCCTGGCTCTCCGCGGCTCCGGCCACCGAGATCGGGCCGCCTTTGTCGGGGCTCAGCCTGCGCATCCCGCCGACCAGCGGGCAACACATGGCCGAGCCGCGCCCCAAGCCTGCGCAGAGCCAGGCCCGGCCGCCCCGCGGAGCTCCAGCCCCGCACCTTGAGGGCCTCGAGGCCCATGAGACGGGACTTGCGGTCCTGATCCTTGATGATGAGGAAAGGCCGCCCATATTCATCGAAGGCGAGGGTCCCCACGGACGCCATGCTTCTGCACCAGGAGTTAGACCACACCGGAACCCAGAGCGCGCACCTTCCTCTCGCGGGAGGGCTCAACAGCCCGCGCATGCGCAACGCGGGCCGCACGAGACTTATGTTTCAACCGTGACTAGTTTGACGCTACACAGTACCTTCTGGAACCAGGGCCCTTTGGAAACTTCTAACATCCGGAAAGCGTGGGGGGATCGGAAGTCAGGGGACAGATACTTTCAGAACTCAGAGGTCAAAAAAAGACAAAAAATCATTCCTGAGAGTTTACAATTGAGTTTCTGCCTAATGTGTTACAGCGGACAATTCATGCACTTAAAGTCTTATTTTCGTCTTTCTCACCCCGGCGCCGGAAACATGGTAGCGTCCACTTCCTGGTTTCCGTTCCCGCCCCGACTGCGGAAATCTCGCGATGGAGGCTGGAGGTGAGGCCCGAGCTGCGTCCCTGCCGCCGGGACGCTTCTGGGCGCCGAGCCGGGGAGTTGGGGTCCGTGGCCCCTGCAGCGGCGATGTCCGCCAGCCTTGCGCTCCGCCTGTGCGTCCCCGTGGGTGCGGACACGGCTGTGGCGACACGCCGTGAGGGCCGGGGGAGCGCGGGGCCTGGCCCCGAGCCCGGCTCGCTTCGGGGACATCCGCTCGTTCACTCTAAATGGCTGCAATGGCTGCAGCTGACCTGATCCAAAGCTGGGACCTGCTTCAGGTCTTCCACGTGGGTGCAGGGTCCCAAGCTGTCCTCTGCTGCTTTCCCAGGCCACAGGCAGGGAGCTAGAGCAGACAGGAGTGTGGCGAGCTCACCGACTCCATCCCCAAAATGAGCTGGAGGCAGACCCTTAGAAGCGCAGGAGTCCGTATTCGCTGGCGTGTGCACTGCCCCGTACTATCAGAAGTGGAAGAGGGAGCAGCTCTGGCAGGCCGCAGTTAGGGACTTTTAAGTTCACACTGGCCTGAACAACTGCCCAGTCAGCTGCGTTAGCATTGGTGCAGTTTGATGAAGGGAACTCTTAGGGGTTCTTAAGTTCTCAGGGTCGAGCACTCTCTTTCCAGGGCTGTGTAAGACCTGTGCTTTGGCCTCGGCTATCGGGGAAGCTCCATAGCACAGTGCCAATCCAAGGAGGAGGATAAGGTCGGCCACCCGCACCCAGCATCCTTAGGAACAGTGACATTACTGGTTCCGTTCTGCTGTCCAACGGGCAGGTGTTTCACACACTGCTTGGCAGTGAGGAGTGAAGCAAGCAAGCAAGCCTGGTCCCGAAAGCTAGTTTTGCAGCTAACCAAGGGTTAACGTAGCCATTGGACATCTTTCTAATGACAGAACGCTTTTCTGCTCACCCTGAGACTCCTGTATACTTAAAGGACTCGACAAACTGACATCATTTTGAATTTTCAGGCTGCCAGAGGATATGAGCCAGTGCTCATGTGGGATGTTGGCACTTGGGTGTGGAGGATTTGCCAGTTGAGCTATCGTGTTGCCCCTCCACCCCTCACCCCTCAGTCTTCTCTTAGTATCAAATTATTTCAGAACTCTGTGGGATTATAAGCTTACAACTTAGAGATTGGAAAGGCAGATCAGATTTAAAGAGAGAAGGAGAGACAAATATCTTACATCCACTGATTCTCTCCCCAAATGACAGCAACAGCCGGTGCTGAGCCGAACTGAAGCTAGAAGCTTCTTCTGGATTGCAAAGCTTTGGGCCACCCTCCACTGCTTTCCCAGGCTATAGGCGGGAGCTGGGCAGGAAGTGGAGCAGCCAGAATACTAACTGGCATCCCGTCCGTATGGGGGGTTGCAAGGGGAGGATTAGCCAGTTGAGCCATGGCGTGGGACCTGTCAGTAGGTATTTTGTCAGACGTGTTTTCCTGGTGTTAGCTTTGTGTCTCACATGTGCTTTAATATCTGTTCTCAATTCAGGGGCAGCACCAGGCACGCTTCAGGAGGAAAGTCAGGCGTGTCCTGCTGTACCGCCACGTGTGGAAGCCAGCAGTTTGAAGAGAAGCAGTTGGGGCGTCCTGTTGACGGGGGTTGTCGGAGGGACGCTCGTGACTCTGTATGCGGTAGTGACACCGTTTGTGACACCAGCCCTTCGGAAGATCTGTTTGCCCTTTGTCCCTGCCACTCCAAAACAGGTTGAAAATGTTTTGAAAATGTTGCAGTGCCGAAGTGGATCCGTGGTGGACATTGGCAGTGGCGACGGGCGCATTGTGAGTTGTGCTAGAACCCGCTAGGAGTTGTGGACCTGAATTGTTTAAGTTACTACTTTCTGTTCCTTATGAGGTTTATGGAGAAACTTATCAGAAACCCTTCCCAGCCCAAGCATGTGTTTGGAATTTATCAGATTTTCTGTGAAGATACTGGAGCTGTTGGAGGCCCTGTAATCGGAAGAGATTGGTGAATGCATGGCCCGCTACTGTTGTCTGTTTTTGCTCCATAGAGATTTGCCTGTTCGTTCGTTTTATTTTTGTGAGGCACAGCCCGGTTACCATGCAGACAAGCCCATGGTGCGTCCTGTCCACGCTCACTTGACAGGCTCGGCTGGGAACCTGCGCATAGAGATACAGGCCACCACCGGGCAGGGGCATGTCTCAGCACGTTCCTGTGTGAGCAAGGGGCCATCCCTAGGCCACTTCTCGCAGAGCGTTCAGGGAACCACAGCGTGGAGACCAGCAGGGCGCCACCTCCACTCGACAGCCCCTGTGACGGTGTGATTGTGGGCTGGAGTGCTGAGGGCGACATGAAGTGACTTGTGGTTTTTTTTTTGTTGATTCTCTCTGGGTCCTTCTTACTTGTACCTGCTTTCAGCTTTGAGTGAAAGTGGTTACCTGCTCAGGGAATACTTGCGTGCACCTGACCGCAGGCTGCTCCCAGCAGGTTCTCGTTCTCGCCGCCTTGCAGGCGTGTTCATTGCCCTGCTGCCGTGCTGGCCGGTGAGCAGCTGAGAGGCAGCCCATTTCAGCAGCCTCGTGTCAACAAGCACGTAGCGGTTTGCTAGCCCAGCGTTAATGATGCCTGTGTCTCAAGCAGGCCTGAGTGTCTGTTGTACTGATACTTGAGGCAAAATCTTTGACAAAAAGGAGAAACCTGGGCTTGATGAGTTGGCTGTTGACCAAGTCCACAAAGTGGGGTAGTTTCAGTGACACGTTTGCAGTGGGGTCTTGCACAGAGCTGGTGCTTTGGTGGACATTCTAGGATTATAAAGTTCTCATCCGACCCTGCCTCTCTCCGCAGGTGGTAGCAGCTGCAAAGGCAGGGTTTAGGGCCTTCGGTTATGAACTAAACCCGTGGCTTGTATGGTATGCCCGCTACCAGGCATGGCGAGCCGGCGTGCATGGCTCCACCAAGTTCTATATTTCGGATTTGTGGAAGGTAAGTAAGGCAGAGATGGGTCCTAGAAAAATCTAATGGAAGCAATTTTAAAAAGACATTTTATTTATTTGAAGGGCAAAGTTTTGGTTAGGGGGTAGTGAGTGAGTTAGTCTTTTGTCTGCTGGATAACTCTCCAAATGGCCACAGTGGCTGGAGCTGGGCCAGGCTGAAGCCAGGAGCTTCCTCTGGGTCTCCCACGCAGGTGCAGGGGCCCTAGCAGTTGGGCCACCCTCTGCTGCTTCCCCAGGCACATTGGCAGGGATGGGAAGGGGACCCCGCCGTGTCCTCGGGGTCTCTGATGTCAGAGGCTCCTCCTATTGCAGCACAGTGCTGACTCTAGGAAAAACGTTGTTATTTATGATTATTGTGACTGAAAGCCAAAAATGTATGAAAATGAATTAAAGTCAAAGTGAATATTTTGGCATGTTGAAACATAAGCATTTTAAAGATTTAGTTATTTTTGTTGGAGAATCAGATATACAGAGAGGAGGAGAGACAGAGAGGAAGATCTTCTGTCAGCTGATTCACTCCCCAAGTGGCCACAATAGCTGGAACTCAGCCAGTCCGAAACCAGGAGCTTTTTCCGAGTCTCCCATGTGGGTGCAGGGTCCCAAGATTTTGGGCCGCCATCCTCTATTGCTTTCCCAGGCCACAAGCAGGGAGCTGGATGGACAGGGGGGCCGCTGGGATTAGAACCAGCATTCATATGGGATCCTGGCACATGCAAGGTGAATAGCCACTAGGCTACTATACTGGGCCCAACATAAGCGTTTTAAACTGATCTTTATTTTTTTATTAGTAGGTTTTATTAGTACTTTCTACCTTTGGGTTTATGCTAGATCTTTGACTTCTAAGAATTTGTTTACTAACTCAGTTGTTACTAACTAACTTGTTTTCATTTCTGTTTATCATGAACCTAAGAGAGCTCCCATCTCGTTGGGAGAGCGTGTAAGTGATTTCTGGCCAAGAGGGTCTTGCCCATGTGTGTGTGTGGGTGTGGGCGCTCGCATCGGAGCGGGAGAGAGTGGTCCACGTGTGTCCCGGCTTTGGGAATGCCCTGTGAAAGGCTTCTGTTCGAACGGGACTCTCCCACTGTAATGTCATCGGTGTCATCAGCAGCTCGTGAGGACTCAGCTTGGTTGGGCTTGTGTTTTTCCCACCATGTATTCATACATAACCTCTCTCATTGGCTGCTCACAATTCTGACTTGCGAAGCTCATTTTCCCTGTTATCCAGCTAAAGACCGTTTTGTATTTTTCATAGAGAAAGGGGATGTTAAGGATGGTTGTATGTGAAAAGCCCAGTGGTTCTGAGGTTGTTTGGGATCTTGCTACCCTGGTGTGGCCTCTTGTGGAGTGGAGCTTGGATTCCCCCCGGGAGAGGTGCTCCCACAGTGGGGAGACATTTGGGGAGCTTAGGGTTGGAGCTAATGTGAGTGAAAGTGTTGTTTTCTCTGAAATCTTAAAAGGAGGGGCATTTAGAAGTTGTTGGTGACTTGCCACTGGAACGGCAGCCAGTTGCTCAGTTCTTAGGTGTAATGGCTGCCTCTTTCAGCTCCTCACTCACTGTGCCCTTGTCTCGCCCAGGTCACTTTCTCGCAGTACACCAATGTCGTGGTCTTCGGCGTGCCTCAAATGGTGAGTGTGCACCTGGCCGTTCTCAGTGCACCGAGGGGGGAGGGGCTGTGGAGGCCTGCACCCCAAATCTCTGTGTGCTGAGGAGCTTGACCTCAGCTCAGTTTAATTGTAATTAGAATCTTTTAATTGTATAAGATGCAGTTATGTTTTAGAACTTTTGCCCCCTGTTAGCTTGACAGTCTACGTAAGCCCTAGCACTCACGGTATGAAGTTTGCTCCACAGGCCCCAGGACCGACAGAGGTTGGAGACCCCTAGCTGGTATCCGCCTGTGGGCAGTTCACTGGCCATTCCTCCCAGTCAGCGGGAATGTCCCCTCCATGCAAGGACGCTGACTGGTTTCAGTTGGCCTCGGGTTGGCCTGATTGGCTTGGATTATAGGCACAGTGTGGTGTAGGAGTGAACGTGGTGCTTGTCGCCTGTGGAGGGGCACCGGGCGGCTGCCCTGACCGAGGCTGTTGCTCGAAGGCGCAGACAGAGCTCCGTGCTTCCGTTGGAAGTCTGCAGTTGTAGCCCTAGGAATCTGGGTGGAATTGGATGTTTGCTGAGATGCCAACATATAACTGATAACATTTTAAGTTTTTTATGAAAGGAAATTTAATTCTTTGTCATCCTTTTTCTTACTTATACCTTAGTTTTTATCTAAGATGTTTTAGTGCTTGAGAAATTTACTTACCTTCAATGTGATATATTTATTTTCTAAAGATGGTTTAAAAATGCTTCTGTTAAATGTTCCTTTAAGTATCCGTATTCTAGCTTTGCAGATTTCATTAGGCCTAAAATCCAGACCAAGCTTGAATGTCTGTACTTGTTATGCATGTGAAAACAGTAGAAAGGCATAATTTTGGGCAACTAAAAAACCTGCCTTGGAGACTAGTGTGGTGGTGATTGAGTTAAGCTGCCGTGTGCAAAGCCAGCACCCGTGGAGGAGTACCCACCTGAGTCCTGCCCACCGCCTCATCCTGTGCCTGGGAAAGCAGCAGCGTATGGCCAAGCTCCATGGGCTGCTGCCTTCCACGTGGGAGACCTGGCTGCAGTGCCAGGATCCTGGCCGTGTCCTGGCCGTTGCTGCCATGTGGGGAATGAACCAGCACAGGAAAGTTCTTTCTCTTTCTCGCTTTCTCTCTCTCCCCTCTCTGTCACTCTCTTACTCTGCCTTTCAAATTGATAAATATTTATTTATTTTAAAAAATATTTATTTACTTGAAAGAGTTACAGAGATAGTCTTCCACATGAGTGGCATAGGCACAAGTGCTTGGGCCATCTTCCTCTGCTTTTTCCAGGCCAGGAGCAGAAGCTGGATTGGGAGTAGAGCAGGTGGGTGGGACCTGAACTGGCATTCATAGAGGATGCCAGGGCTGCAGCCTGTGGCTTGCTTTGCTGCACTACAATTGTAGGCCCCTAAATAAAATAATTAAGTAAGCTACTTGGGGTCACAGAATGGTCCTAGAGTTATTTGTTTATGTGCTAGGTAAAGAGAACAGGAGAGAATGCATGTTCACGCACTGGTGAGGCTGCCACACGGCCATAGGCCGCACACTGGGGACACAGTCATTGCCTCCTTTGTGGCTGAGAGGAGCCCACCTGCTCAGGTCAGAAGTCAGAGCTGGCTACCTAAGGCAGGCCGTTGGAGTGGCCTGCAGGTCCTTGCCTGGCCCCTAACTGCAGGCCACATGGCTGCCCGGAGACGGGACTGTGATGGTGGTTTACACTTACTGTCACGTTGGACCTCCCTTCCAAAGGGAAGGTCCGACAAATCTTTTAAAAATAGAGAAGTGACTGTAATTTGAAATCCATGCTTTATGGAAAGAGAAAGTTGACGCTGCCTGGGAGCTGCACGCGTCTGCAGAGGTCAGTGAGAAGCCAAGGCCGTGGCTGGCTGGACCCAGGGGGGCAGCAGTGGTCTTTGGTACCGTCACCACCTAACCTGGGCGCGGCTCCCGCTTCTTACAGGTTTGAGGTTACTGAGCAGAAATTGGAGTAGTCTTATTTTGAAGACTATTTCTGCAGTTATTATTTCTTCTGTATGGTGAGAAATCTTCACTTGGGAACCTGCAGTGTCTGAGGGTTCCCCACAGGCAGGGGGCAGCCCCAGTCCCTGGTTGAGGCCTACAGATCTCTCTGCTGGTGGAGCGAGCTGGTTGATGGCTGCTCTTGGCCTAGAAGGCTCAGTGTGGTGAGCAGAGTCCCCACTTTCAGCCTGTTGCAGGGATGTGAGGATAGATTGCTCTGGCTGGTAAGTCAGACGCCAGGTGTCCCTCTGTGTAGTGTGACCCTTGGAGAACCATTTAACCTGTGCCATTCGCAGGTACACTGGTCCAGGCTCCTCAGAGCTAGCATGCTGTGTTGGCTGTGGCCACTGGTGCACGGGGGGGGGGGGGGGGTCAGCTTTAAGCCAGAAAGAGCCAGAAGCAGTCCACTTGCAGGAATGCTGCTGCTGGAAACCCACCGTCCCAGGCCCAGCAAGGTAGCTTGGTGGCTAAAGTCCTCACCTTGCATGTGCCAGGATCCCATATGGGTGCTGGTTCTAATCCCGGCAGCCCCACTTCCCTTCCAGCTCTCTGCTTGTGGCCTGGGAAAGCAGTGGGGGATGGCTCAAAACCTTGGGACTTTGCAGCCATGTGGGAGGCCCAGGGGGAGTTCCTGGCTCCTGGCTTCGGATCAGCTCATCTCCAGCCATTGCAGCCACTTGGGGAGTGAATCAGCGGATGGAAAATCTTTCTGTCTCTCCTCCTCTCTGTAAATCTGCCCTTCCAATAAAAATAAATAAGTCCTTTAAAAAGAAAAATAAACAACCCACCCTCCTTCGCTGAGACCGAACTCATAGGCAGATGGAGTTCGGGGCCAACAGTTCCAGAGAAATTGTGCATCTGCATAATAGGTTGAGGAATTGCGATCTGGTGACAGCAACGCAAGGACTGCATGGACTTGCACTTAACTTGCACTTGCATGCCAGCGTCTTTCCTTGGCAGAGTAAATCCAGTAGGTTCTTGTGTAAACTGATTGCCACATTGAGGATATGACCCAAACCCTCTGCGTGTCCCACAGGGGTGTGCTGCAGCCTCTGTTCACCTCCAGTCTGACGCTGCTGTACCTCCCTCCACACTGCCCCCAGCCCTCTGTCCTCCTGACTGCAGAGCTTGGTCCTGGAGCCGGTGCCGTGTCCTCCCTGGCTTTGGGGGCTCGTCAGGGAACGCTGACCGCCTCCCGGCCAGCTGCCTCTTCTGCGAAGCCGATCTGGACTGCCCAGGTTCCTCTCCTGTAACACCTGGTTCCCCCAGCTGTAGAGGAGTTGCTGTAAATTTCTTGGCTGGCGGCTTTGGTGGTCTTTACGCTGTGAGCTCAAGGGTGGAGTCTGGGTCCTGCTCAGTGGGATCACCAATACCTGGCCCAGAGTCATCGCTCAGTAAATACTTGCTGAATGAATGAATGTAATGTAAACGTAACCATTACTTGTTTTCCCTTTATCACTTCAAAGAAGTCTAATTTAGGTGTAAATTCTCTTAGAAAGTAAATGAGTAAAAATAGGTTCTGATACAGAAAAATGGCTCACGGCCAAGGCCTTGATCCTTCCTTCCTTCATCCTGCAAGCGTGGTTCTGCCTGGGCCTGTCCTCGCTTGGAGTGATTGTATATAGTGAACTGGACACCCTCTCTCCGGAGACCCTTCTGGGTGCGTGGGCACGGGAAGTGCACTGTGCCCTACAAGAGGATAGGGCCGGGGAGACATCAGGCAGGGTCAGGGCGTTCCCTGGATGGTGACAAGGGTGGTGCAGGCTTAGGAGCAGTAACTGGAAGGTGCTAGGGTTTGTGTCCGTTGAAGCTGAAGAACTGCAAGCCTGCCAGCAGAGAGAGATGCCAGGAGGAAATAAGGCCCAGGCATGGGGGCACCGGCCCTCCTGAGGGCAGGAGCAGTTGGGCAGAGGAGGGTTGGGAAGGACCATGGGCGTAGGGGGAAGATGGGTGGGTGATTGTTAGCATTTGCTGGGTCCAGGCTTGGACAGGGATGGAACAGCTGGTGGGAAGTTGCCAAATTCTGGATGTATTGTGAGGGTGGAATCAGCAGAATTAGCGCACAGACCCAGTGTTGGGGGGAGACAGGCGTCTAGGGCAAGCCTGAGGCTTGGCGTTTTGGGGACCTCAGTGAAGAAAGGTGTGAGCAGAGCTGATGGGCATGTGGGGTCTGAGCTGTGAAGTCCAGCTGCTGGTGGGCATCCCAATTTGTCCTGTGCCTTTGAGTGCATTCCAACTTGCGTTTAAAGCATTGAAGATATAATTAGAATATGATGAGTTTGTGTCACTTTGAAACCTATAATTGTATGAATAATTCTGAATTCCATTAGACATGACACATGACTGCTCCTCTTTGTGTTCGATATCAGGAAGCAGATTCATTGCATATTTATGTCTAATTTAGTCAGTTAACTTCTTGTGATTGAAATAGCTGCTTTCATTTTTCGGTTTATCTTGACTTAGCATATGACAGTCATTTGGAAATAAAAGAAACTACAAAGGAGAAAGGAATAATAGTAATATGAAGAAGTTTACAGTTACCCTTTTTATGAACAAAATCACTAGAAGAAACCTTTGATATTTTGGAAAAATATAGTTTGTCTCATTCTTTGTGTGTCTAATTTTTTCCCTCAAGGAATAATTTTTTTTTTTTTTTGTAATTTTTTACCGGCTGTTTAAAGAATAGAAATCCTGCGTCTGTAATGGAATTTATTCTGTTATCCTGGTGTTGATTTTAATGAAGAATTAGAATTTTGGCTCACTCTGAGCATAGCTCATGTGGAGGAGTTTTTCCCAGTTACAGGCTGCGAATAAAACTTAGGGAAGTGCTTGATTTATTCCTCTCAGCTTTTAACTTGGTACTTTTATATGTTTGTTTTTAAACATGTGTTTATTTACTTGAAAGAAAATTGCAGAGAGAGAGGGAGAGACAGGGCATGACAAAGGTCTTCATCTGTTGGGTTATTGATAGTAAAATGATTCAGCATGATAGAAGATGGGCTATGAGGAAATTCGTTATTGGTGCATTTAGAACTATGAGCTGTGTCAGCTTGGTAGAATGTGTATTTTTTCATGGCCCAGTTTTATTTCATTGATTCCATACGTTGTTGATTTAAGATGCAACTTACATTTTGCCATTGAGAAAAAAAAATTGTAATTATCGTGAGATACTGTCAAGTGACTGGTGATCTATCCTGGTTTCAGAGATATTAAATGTGAGACCATATATTGAAATATTTGATTAGATAAAATTTTAAAACTGGTTTTAATTACTACTGTTTTATAAGTTTAGGAATTGCAAATTTGTGATCCATAGTTGCTAAAAAATATAGTGAATTTCATCATTGGCAGTGGGATGTGTTCTTAAAACTGCCTTAATATGTCTGTTGCCTGTTGATGGATTATGGTTCCACGTGTTTGTGCCCTGAGGTGAGCTTTTCCACACCTGCTGTCAGGAACTGAAATACAGAATGGCACTTTCGAATTGCTTACTCTGCTCATCGCTCACTGAAATCGTGCTGTGACTTTCCGCAGATGCTGCAGTTGGAGAAGAAGCTTGAACTGGAACTTAAGGATGATGCAAGAGTCATTGCGTGCAGGTTCCCTTTCCCACACTGGACCCCAGAGTGTGTCACTGGGGAGGGCATAGACACTGTGTGGGCCTATGACGCAAGAGATTTCAGAGGAAGAGAGAGGCAGCCCTGAGCGCCAGTGCGCCTGTGTGGTCCTTGTGTGCACCTCCGTGACTTCCTGGAGAGGCGGCCCTGAGCGCCAGTGCACCTGTGTGTTCCTGCGTGTGCACCTCCGTGACTTCCTGGAGAGGCGGCCCTGAGCGCCAGTGCACCTGTGTGTTCCTGCGTGTGCACCTCCGTGACTTCCTGGAGAGGCGGCCCTGAGTGCCAGTGCACCTGTCCCTGTGTGTGCAGCTCCGTGACTTCCTGGAGAGGCGGCCCTGAGCGTCAGTGCACCTGTGTGGTCCTTGTGTGCACCTCCGTGACTTCCTGGAGAGGCGGCCCTGAGCGCCAGTGCGCCTGTGTGGTCCTTGTGTGCAGCTCCGTGACTTCCTGGAGAGGCGACCCTGAGTGCTAGTGCACCTGTGTGGTCCTTGTGTGCACCTCCATAACTTCCTGGAGAGGCGGCCCTGAGCGCCAGTGCGCCTGTCCCTGCGTGTGCACCTCGGTGACTTCCTGGAGATTTTCAACTATGACATCAGTAACACAGTGGAATGAGAAACTACTATTACTTTTCTTAATTTTGCAGGAAATAGACACATTTAAAATCTGCTTTTAATGGTATATATATATGTTTTTAAAAGATTAACTTGTTTTTATTTGAAAGGCAGCATTACAGAGAGAAAAGGAGAGACAGGCCTTCCACCCACTGGCTCACTCCCTAAGTGACCACAATGATTGGAGCTGGAGTAATTTGAAGCCATGAGCCAGGAGCTTCCTTGGGTCTCCCATGTGGGTGTAGGGCTTCAGTCATTTGGGCTGTCCTCCACTGCTTTCCCTGGCCACCAAAAAGGAGCTGGATCAGAAGTGGAGCAGCTTTGACTCACAGGAGTGCCCCCTTAGGATGCTGGTGCCGCAGATGGAGACCTAACTTCTTATGCCATGTTGCCAGCTTACTTCCTATTTATGCATTGGATGTATGAAAATGTGAATTAGTGAGTGGAAGGATGTCACAATTCTTAACTTACAAGTAGCAGAATTTAATGCCACAGATAAGAATTAGTGAGTGTGTGTTACAATTTGAGTATTGGTTAATCCTCATACAAGACAGAACTTTAAACCCTCCAGTCACAAGTTACCCATGAGGATGGTGTGGTGTTTAGGAGGCAGGTCCTAGTGGGAGGAGCTGAGGTCCCTGGGGCGTGTCCCCAGAAGGCGCTCTCATAAGAGGGTTGCCAGGAAGGTGTGAGTCCGGGCCCATATGGCCACTTACTGGTTTACCGCATGAGCCTTCCTCTGCCTGCTCTGCCATTGCCGTGAGTCCTTTTTCAGAGCCAAACCCTGCATCGTGCCATTTATCGCTTGAAAACTCCAGAACTGTGAGCTCACCACATTTTTATTCTAGGGCCACTGTCCCAGGTGTTTCATTACAGTAATGAGAAAGTGACTAACAGCCTGTGTGTTTGCAGTTTCCTAAACTTTATTCATGTTTAAGATGTCTCCCTGGGGCTGGCAAGGTAGGATAGGGCTTGAGCTGCCAGTTGCAACATCAGCATCCCACAGTGGAGTGCTGCTTGGAGTCCTGGCTGCCCCACTTGGGCTCCAGCTCTCTGCTGATGTGCTTGTGTGGGCAGCAGAGGGGGCCTGAGTGTTTGCGCCTCTGCCATGCATGTGGGCGACCCAGATGGAGCTCCTGACTCCTGGATCCAGCCTAGCCCAGCCTCAGCGCTGGGGCCCTCTGGGGAGTAAGTCAGCAGGTAAAAGACCTCTTTCTTTCTGTCACTCTGCCTTTCAAATAAAATAAATATTGAAAAAAAGATTTTTATCTTTCTTATACTTCATGGCAAAATTAATTTGCTAAAGCATTCAGAGAGGTGCTTGTAGATTTTACAACATTTATTAGGAATAATTTGTTCCTTACTGAATTTAGATGAGTTTGTGTGTAAATACTTATGCACACTTCCAAACTGCTGAAATTGTGCCACGCCTTCTGATGGGAGGTGTTTTATAGCTTTGGAGGTGCTGTAGCTTTGGTGGTGCTGTACATTATGTTGCAGTTGCACTGCTAAAATCATCGTTCAGCAAAGGTATGTGATATACTGGAGTGATTGGTGATGATTTAAAAGTGAAATGAATGGTCATGAACTTTGGCATAAGACCTGGACTGCATCCAGATCCCTTTGTCACCAGCAATGACTTCCTGTCTCTAAGCCTTGGTCCGTGTTCCTGCTACTGGATGATGATACGCTGAGCAGGGGTAGAGAACCAGTTTGTAGGACTCACAGCATCAGTACCTTACTCTGCTGTTGGTGAGAGTGTGGACTATGGCAGTCAGTATGGAGAATGCTCAATTGAAAATTGGTCTACCATATGACCCAGCTGTCCCGCTCATCCGCTGTGAGAAAGTGGCCTGCAAACCTGTACTTACAGCAACATAGTCCACAATTACAGAGACGTGGAGGCCAACTCGGATGCCTGTTGAAAGAGGAATAGATAAAAGATACTGGCACATCTACTCTACAGAATATGACTTAGCCATAAAGAATGACATTCAACCATTTGTGGGCCTGACGCGATGGTGTAGTGGTTAAGGTCCTCGCCTTGCACGCCCGGGATCCCATATGGGTGCTGGTTCTAATCCCGGCAGCCCTGCTTCCCATCCAGCTCCCTGCCTGTGGACCGGGAAAGCAGTCGAGGATGGCCCAAAGCTTTGGGACCCTGCACCCGCTTCGGAGGCCCAGAAGAGGCTCCTGGCTTCGGATTGGCTCAGCTCCAGCTGTTGCGGCCACTTGGGGAGTGAATCATTGGACGGAAGATCTTCCTCTCTGTCTCTCCTCTCTGTATATCCGCCTTTCCAATAAAAATAAATCTTTAAAAAAAAAAAAGAAATTCAACCATTTGTGACAAAATGGTACCAATTGGAAACCTTTATGCTGAGTGAAATAAGCCAGCTGCAAAAGGACATCATATGTTCTCTGATATAAGGCAACTTTCAGGCAAAATCCAGGTAGATATGTAGATGAACATGTATGTACATAGTTTCTTATGGAGGAACTATATAATGGAGGATAGGATACCAGGAAGTGAAGAAATACTGCAGTGTGCATCTCTAAGGACTCGGTGATGAAACAGTTGAAAATAGGATGCCAAATTTCTACCTTTTTCTGCCTACAGTGCGTTGATGGCAATAAAACAGCAAAGTGTTAAACTTGTAACTGTTGGTAATTACTGGATTACTGTAATAATGTGGAGAAAAATGGTGGGACGAGAACATGGGGAGGGAAAAAGGGGAATGGAAAGGAGAAATCCCTGTGCTTACAGAACTGTATCATGGAAAATAATAATTAAAAAGTTTTATGAAGTGCAGCGGCCTATAAATGCTATGTCTTATTTTAGACATGAAGGAAAGGCCTGTTCATTAAAAATGCGGATTTTCTCATATGGTCACTTTATGAGAACAGCCATCTGCTATTTCTCAGTTGTGAGAAGAGACTTGATCTAAGCCAAAGACAAGATTTGGATATGAATGGACACTTAATGTATCTGGAAAGTGCATGTTGAAGGGTAGTCTGAGTGGTCTCTGCTTTTCCCAGGAGGTATGGAGCTAGTCATACACCAGTGACCCACAGAGCCGATTGCATCTTTGACTAAACTTAAATTCTAGTCAGTTGCATAATTTTCAGCATCTGGGTTCACAGTCACTCATTAAAGACTATATCCAGTGTGTAATATGTGGTTCAGCAGTGGGTAGGCAAGCAAGGCCTCTCCACGGAAGTAAACTGATTTCCATGTGTATGAAATTTGTTGAGACAGTCATGTCATGAGGATGTGCTTGAGATGAGGGGCTGGTGGCATGGATGTTGTCAGGCTTTTTCTGTCCCTCCCCCAGCTGTCCCTTTGCTTGAATTTCCTTCTAGGAATGGATTCTCTCCCATGGTTGTAACTGCTGGGAGGACAGTATTGGGTGTCTGCTTCTGGTCTGACCTGGTGTACTTTGGGACACACTAGGGCAGGGGTCTTTCGGGGGTCCTGACTTGAAGCTGTGGGGAGAGGCAGGGCTTTGTGGACCTTGGGCATTTGACTTGGGGGCACAGTGTTTCCTGGGGATGTGAGCATAGTAAGAGAGGGCATGGTGTTCCCGGGGATTTGAGGGAAAGGACATTGCTGTGTGTGTGCCACGGGGTGTCGGTTACTATTCACGCTTCCATCCTCAGAGGGGAGGTAGTGTCTTCAGTTTTGCTTCTTGTAATCTTTGCCGAGTCTGAGTCTGACACACAAACATGGGCAAGTCACACCCTGGAATCAGGGCTGGTGTGATTGGCTTTGTGGAACCAGCTGGGGTCATGGGGTGGGTGCTAGAGGGACGTGAGGTTTAAACTTATTCTGAAGTCCTCATAAAGCTACTGCATTGTGATGCAGTGCCTGTCTTTCCAGGGCAGAGGCCACATAGCCGCTGGGGAGAGACATTTCAGAGAGGTCTGTTCGCAGGCAGGCTCAGTCCCAGTAGACCCTGAGGTGACAGGTGGTGTGCCGGGCTCAGCAGGGCTTTTGGGACATTGGAGCAATGATGCAGCCTCGGGCATGACAACTCCAGTCAGTTCCCTTCTCCCCTCCCACCCCGATGGAAGGTCCATGGCAGTGTCGCTCTCTGGCATTACAAGAGAGAGGAGTCAGTGTGGTGAGAATCGTGAGCTGTGTGGTAGCTGCATCTGTGAGGTGTGACTGCCCAGGGAAGAAGGGGCATGTCTGAAATCCAACACACCCAGTTGTCTTCACTGGAATCAAGTAGGAGATGGCAGTAATGTGCTCCATTCTCCCTTAAGTGACATCATCACTCCATCCATCACCCTGGCAAGGAGCAGTGAGTCAAGGCAGGCTGCAGGGTGGCCTGTGAGGTGGCTGGCAGGATGCTGAGCACCTAAGTTAGCAAGTGGAAAGAAAGGGCATGTAAGTAGTGGTTAAGGTCATGCGGTTGAGGCCAGAGCAGCTCTGTGATGCCTTGAGAGAGAGGCGAGAGAACCATGGGCTTCTCTGAGTCTGGGAACAGGTTGCCATCCCAGGATTTCCCCTCCCACTCGCCAGGAGGAGCAGAACTGGCAGAGCTGCCTTAAGCAGCAGCAGAACTGGCAGGGCTGCCACTGCGCCACACAGTGTCCTCCTTTGTCCCCTTACCTGATAACAGTGAGTGTTGTAGTAATGAAGTAGGTAACTTTATGACGTGTGAGATAGCACTTGTCATAGCAGGTATCACACAGCAGAAATTCTTCTCTCTAGAGACAGCACAGGCTATGTACATCAAAATTGGAAAATGAATGTGTATCTGGATGTGAGGATATCTGTATCTATATACAACAATGAGCTCTGCTCCAGGGTAGAACTCTAGAATCCTCGTGTCAGGGCCCTTGT